AGCAAAGCAGACATTTTAGATGGAGTTGAGGATCCATCGAAGGATTCCAAAAAATTAGAATCCTTTACAAATGATGGAGAAGAAAAAGATTTGTGAGTTTTTCTATTTGCACAGAAAATATAATGGGAAATGAGGAGGGAAAAGTTGCGCGCGACTTTGTCTATCCTTCTTTTCAATGTTATTTTCTGTCGCAAGACGCAAAGCGACTTTTATGTAACCACAGCATAAAGGGAATATTCCTTTCAAAAAAAAATTAAAAAATATTATTTTACATAAGAAACTGTGGCATAATGGGTACCGTTAAGATTCTAACATAAATTTTCTGAAAGTAATTCTAGTTTATTATTTTTTACCATAAGTTTCCCACCCAAATTATTAAGTTTGAGGAAATTATGCTAAGCTTTAATAATATCTGCTCATTATTAAAAAAAATATTTCAGAGAACGAAAAAGGCGTTGGGGCTATGGATATGGCTATGGATGTTGCTGGGGTGGTTGGGGAGGTTATGGATATGGTGGTTATGGCTGGGGATGGAGAAGACGGTGGTGGGGATGGGGTAAGAAGTAAAAAAAAAGATGAAGAAAATTGATATTTAATTTTTAAAAAATATATTTTAATTAATATTATGTAGTTTATCTAAATATCTGATAAAATAAATAATGTTCTTTTACTAAATTAAACAAATATTGAAAATTAGGCCCTATCTGAAATTAATGCCGCCATCCAATTTTTCCTTTCCTCCTCGAATGGGGGAGAAAAATGTTAATTTCTCGGCTGTAGTATACTATACCGGTGGTAAGGTAGAATCATACCTTCGTCTCGACGAGCTAAGTCGACGGTACCACTCTTTTTTCCGGAGCTGCCTATAGGTCTCCGAAAATCGAAAAACTATGGGGGGAGTAAGCCAAAATGGGGTGAAAAATTCAATTTTTTGAATTTGAATTTTTTGAATCTTTATGGGCTGTACCCACTTTAAACATTAACGAAATAAAAAATTTTAAACAATTCCAAAAAATTTTCATTATAATTTATCGACAAAAAATTATTTATAAAGTCAATTTGATAAAACACAAATTTTATTAAATAAAAAATATTTTTTTATTTTTTATTCACTCAAAACCCCCCAATTTATTTATTTAAGCTCCCCTCCCTCATTCTCAATATCAAATCGTTTCGATTTACAATTTTCCAAACCTGGAGGAGCTGTCATCTTTTTAAATTCCATTTTTAAAGTTTCATAATGTTTCTAAATTTAATTTAGAAAATTTTTAAAAATAAAATGTTTAAAAAAATACTTTAAGTCCAGCCAAATAATTAGGCAAAACTTTTCCACTACTCGCATGTGTTGTTATATAATGTTGAATATCTTCAATCCAAGCTTCCACTTGAACACAAATTTCATCTCGTTTCATCCAAAAATGAGATTTGACAATTTCTGCAAAGGCTTTTGGAGGATTCTAAAAAAAAAAGAAATTTTTTGAGAAATTAAAAAAAATTTTTGGCACTGGTCCAATGGACTTTTATGCGTCCAATCAAAAGAAAATTGGATTTTTTTGGTGTTGCAAAGTTGGGGTATGGTTCCAGAACATTTCTTCATGTTCGGGACCTACGCCCACTGGGTCTGGGATCATTCGTTACCCTATCCCTTGAAATTTCTGACAGTTATAGCCAATTTTTAAAAATTTTTTCCAACTTTACAAAACCAAGGAAAATCCAATTTTTGTTTATTGGACGCATAAACTAGACAAGCGCCAAATTTTTTAATTAAAAAAAATTACCCGAATTTGTTCAACCATTGCCCATCTAACACACATTTGCATAATATTAGCATCATATTCCCGCGATGCCTGTTGGCCAGCAGGGGAATTTCTCCATCTTTCATAACCAGGTTCATTGAAATACTTAAAAATTCAAATTTTTAGTTAAATAAAAACAAAAAACCCCAACCGGTTCATTAACAAGAATTAAAAATTGAATGGAGACAAGTACTTGCAAAAGAGAGGAAGTGTCAGCATTCCAACGTTCTTCTGGCCGACCACGCCAAGTATTCAAAATTGATAGACAAACATTTCCATCATCGTAAAGATTTGGATCTTTAAAGAAAAAAAATTTTTTGTTCAAAAATTAAAAGAAAAAACCAACTAAATCGAACTGTTCGATTCCCCGTTGTCTCCAAATTCATTTGCATTGGAACATTTGGATAATCTGGAGGGAAGAAAACATCAAATTCAAAACATCCATTTGCATAAGGAGTATCTGATGGACCCGTTATTAAAACCTGAAGAAAAAAATTTTTTGTTAAATAATTTTTATAAGAAAAAAACCTTCATAGCATCCAATCTTTCTTCACAAGTTCGAACAAAAACACCGCTACTAAATGAAAGTGGTAATGAACTGCTCAAAGAAACAATTTCTTGTGCTAATCGACGAGTTCTTTTGCCTAAAGCTGAACCTCCAGCACTAGCCATTGAATTTAAAGATGTTGCATAATGGAAAGGAATACACATAACTGGAGTTGTGTTGTTGTTGTTGTTGTTACCCATAGGTTCGTAGAAGGGAATTGTTTCTTTAAAAATAAAGTACTTTTTTTAATCACTGGGTGGAGAGGAGGTGTATAAACTATCCCCAAATACCTCCCATTTTTTATAAGATTTTTAAATCCCAAAGGAATTGTTTATTTAAAATTCAAAAAATTAACCCTATGGTGCATGTAAAAGGGAGGTTAAAATTCAGCAGAATAAGAATAGACGTAAATGTTTTTGAAAGTTACTTAAAATTAGATCCATTTTTGAATGCTTAACACGAATGTCTAATAAATATTTTTGAAAAGAAAATTTAAAAAAACCCCCTAACCAAATTGCAATCCTCTAAGTTTATCGCAATAGAAACGTTCAACAGCATCAGACACTTTAGGCAAAGCATTCGAGGAAGAAGCAACATTTTGATCGCTAATCATTACTTCCTCATTATTTTGTTCATCTTCGGGCTCATCAAAGTCCATTTCGATACAAGAATGAATTCGTTTCTCTTAAAAATAAATTTAAAAAAAAATAAAATTTTCTAAAAGAAAATACTTTTATTAATAGCAGAACAAACACTGTGAACCAAATCTAAAAGTTTTCCAAGTTCTTCCTCTTCTTCCAAATCAGCCTGAGTTTTTGAAGAATTTATAGCTGTTGTTTTTCGACTAAAAAAATTTTATAAAGATTTTTAAAATATATATGTCGCAGTCCAATTTCATTTCTTATCCAAATTCAATTCGGCAGGCCAATTGGGGACTGAAACCCCAAAATTTAGATTTATCTTTGTGTTCAAAGTTTGGGTTCCGTAATAGTTCTTCATGTTCGGGACCTACACACTGTGTCTGGGACCGTTCCTACCCTATCCCTCAAAATTTCTGAGTTATCGCCAATTTTTAAAAATTTCAGAAAAACGATTATAATTTTCAGAAATTTCGAAGAATAGGGTAAGGAATGGTCCCAGATCAAGTGGGCGTACAAGAAATGAAATTGGACTGCGACATTATAAATTTTCTTACAAAGCTTTTCTTTTGGCATTTCGTTGCCAAAGACTTTCCCCTGTTGCTGTATTTGTTGTACGATGTCCAGTTTGTAGTTTACTCAAATAAATTTCAATATTTTTACCCAATTTATTTAAACGATCAAGCAATTCAGATTCAGCAACAGTTATTTGTTGTAATTTCTTTTTATGGCTAATTTGTTTTTGGATTTGTTTTTCTTCGCTCAAAAAAATAATATCAAAAATATCTTGATTTCCTTGTTGATCAAAAATGGCAGCATTTGGAAATTTTGATAAATTATTGATTGGGATTGGCAAAGCATTAGCGATTGTATCAACCAACAAAATAACAGCCTCAATGACATGTACACGTTTTGAAATGTCCAAAACTGAAAAATTTTTTTGTTGGTATTTTCTAAATAATTTTGCGATTTTATAGTTGAACCTCACCAATAAGACTAGAGACCGGACCATGAGGGTACGAGAATCAAGATAGATATCTCGAAATAGTATATTGATCTTGATAATCGAGAAATTTGTTCGAGATCTGTTTCGGTTTTTAAATTGGCCTCTTGGGTCCTCAAGTTTAAAGCATAGCGTCTTACATGGAAATTTATTTTAGAATATGAAAGAGTCCACCCAAAATAAGATGTATTTAACTTAAAAATAAGGTTCAACTATATTAAAAAAAATAAATTCTCGCAAAACAAGAATTTTAAAAAATCTTTCAAAATTACCAGAATCATTCATCAAATAAGAATTGAGCGTAGAAAAGAGACAGGAGCGGAAAAGAAGTTCAACAAACTCTTCAGAAAGCTTAATACTCGGAATGTCCAATTCTTTTCTCTTCTCCTCTTCATTCTTATCAGTCCTTTTATTTGTCTTTTCATCTTCCTTTGAAGTTGTTAATTCCTCTATTGGCAAAACTAATTCTATTCCATCTCCAGAATTTGTTGTTTCTTGTTTCTCTTCTTCCTTTTTATTTGAAAATGTTGATTGATTTTCTTGTAATCGTTGTGATTGAGGACTAATAAAGGCGATAAGAATCTTAAAAAAATATTTTTTTTTAATTTCAGATTCTAAACAAAAATTCATACATGTAACAATGCTGCAACATTATTTTCATCTTGCCTTCTTTTTGCAACATGTTGACTAAGACTCCATTGCTGTTGAGTAGTTCCACTACCAAAACCTGTGCCTTTTGCCCAATAATTTCCATCATTTTGGGTTTGTGTTGTTGCAGTAGTTGTCTGTTGAGGTATAGAAGTTGGAGGTGTTACTGGAGTAAGAGGACTTGTTTGTGTCGGTGTTGTTTTGGTGGGTGGAATATTTGAAGGTCCTCCTCCTTCAGTAGTGGGTGTTTTTACAACTGGAAGTTTGCCTGTTTCAGTTGGCCCAGACAATTCAAAATCATCGCCCAAGGTGATAACAACTGGAGTTTTTTTATCCTCAGCTGTGGCTAACGAAGTACTAGATTGTGTTATTGATACTGGGACATGAGATTTCGTTGTTGTCGAATCTATTGTTCCTGAGGATAACGTTGTTGTAAGTGATGGACTTTGAATATAATCAGTTTGCCCACCAAAAACACCACCTCCAATGCTGCCAATAAATTGTAAACCCATTGTCTGTTGTTGTAATGTCCCAGAATGCTGGAATGAACGTTCCGTACGCAAAGCAGCGTTCAAAACATAACTTAATAATTCAACCTTTTAAAAAATATTTAAAATTCTTTTTCAAATATGAAAAATAAACCATTGGCTGTTCTTCAGCAATAGCAGGATGTAAAGGCTCCAAACGATTCGGTTGTCTTGAAAAATGAGCCAAACTTGTCAACAAAACATCAACAATTCCCATTTTTAAAGCTTTATCACGAATTGCTTGAGCACGTTCGATACCAACATCAGCAGGATCAAAAGTGTTGAAAAGTCGAGCAAGTACAACAAAAGGGAATAAAAGAAGCTCTTCTTGATGAGCTTTGAAAAAAAATTTTTTTTTGAATTATTAGAAAAAAAACCTTGTTGTTCATGAGAAACATAACGACCCAAACGTTGTGATGACGATTTAATATTTGTATTATAGGAAGCAGGTAGAGATGTTGGTAATAAATTTGTTGAAGAAGTTGGTGGCTTTTGAGTGTAATAATGGTAATTGTAGTATGAAGGGTTGATATTCTTTTGTTGTTGTTGTAATAACTTTTTAGGAGTTCCAGAGGTTGATTTAACATTACTACGAATTTTTGAGTCACCACCTGTACGAGGACGTAAAAAGGCAACTCTAGAACTTGGAGCTAAAATGAACAAAAATTAGGTTATTTTTTAATAAATTGGCCTATAATTGACTATTCACTTCACAAAAACTCAATTTATGGTCGATATTTAATGGTTTATTGGATGTCCGCAAATTTCAATCCGCAACTACCGATTATCAAAAATATTATAAATCTGGCCTTTGGAACTCCGAAAATTTTTAAAACCCTAAAACCGAAACGGAGAAACAACCCAACAACTCATCAGGGTTTTCGGTTTGATTCCGAACCGGCAATTTTAATGATTAAAAAAATAAATTTAAACTTTACATGTAATCCATGAATGTATGTCCAAAATCATTCGAAGTAATTGTTTTGTCTTTTCCCGATCCATTTCAATAAGTAATTCTCCATATTGTTCTAAACGAAGAAATAGTCCAAGTAAAACAATAACATGAGCAGAATTATGGAAAAATTGATCAATTGGCATTGATGGTGGACGAGTATAGGTCTAACAATGGAAAAATTTTTTTTAATTTAAAGTAAATAAAATTAAGCTTTACATTTTTTCCGCTATTAATATTTCCAGAAACATATGAAGTACCAAAAGTATTCCATCCAACACCTAAATTAGTTCCCAATCCAACAGGTTGAAGAGGAGGCCATTCATTATATGTGTTAAATAATTGAGTCATTGGAATATTAGAAATAAAACCAGGTGGTTGTGCTTGAGGAAATGGTAACTAAAAAATTATAAAAAAATATTTTTTGAAATAAGAGTTAGGGTTTACAAGTTGGAGAGGAGCTAAAGAGAGATCCACTGCAGATGATCTATCCACATCAGATCATCATCCACTGCAGATCCATCCACAAAGATCCAGAGATCCCATTGCCACTTACATATAAGTGGCAGTGGGATCCTATGGAGTGTTCTTACGCCATACCTTATATTCTAGATATCCCGATCAAGTGAGGAGAGAGAGAGAGAAAGGTCCATTCACAGAGATCCAATAGGTGCCAGCTGGCGGCACCTATTGATTGTGAGCCGAGGGGTTGAAAGCGGAGAAATAATGGTGACGCCGCCCATAACTACAATAGAGGTGAGTGAAGACTTTTCTAATAATGCAGAGTTTTTTTATTTAAAGTAAATAAAATTAAGTTTTACCATCTTTCCACTATTAATATTTGCAGAAACATTTGAAGTACCAAAAGTATTCCATACTCCGCCTAAATTATTTCCCAATCCAACAGGTTGAAGAGGAGGCCATTCATTATTATTGTTAAATAATGGTGTCATTGGAATATTAGAAATAGCATTTGAATACATACCAGGTGGTTGTGTTTGAGGAAATGGTAACTAAAAAATTATAAAAAAATATTTTTTGAAATAAGAGTTAGGGTTTACAAGTTGAAGAGGATTGTGCCAGTGGGATCCTATATGGAAAGCTTTCCTACGCCATACTTTAAATTTTAGAGGTTCAGGTCCTGTGAGAAAAGAGAGAGAGAAGCTGGGGCTGGCGGCAAGCCTAGGAGTTAAAAGCAACTTTATCATGAAAAAGTTATTTAATAATCAAGACGTACACCATATAACGGAGGGGGAAGGAGAATGGCTAAATGCCTCTCTTTAAGGCGTCCCTCTTCATAAAATAAGTTAAACTCCCTCAAAAAGGATAAGAAAATAAAAAAACCTTTTGATCACTCTTCTTGTTCAAATCAGTTGAAACCGTAGTAGGAAGATCAAAATTCTCCTTTTCCTGTTCATTCAAAACTCGAATGTGGTCTGTGCCACAAAGACAAGAACAAACTGATGGCTCAGTTTCCAATAATCCTGGCAAATGATTCATATTAATAAACGATCCGATGAAGAGAAGGATCTCCCGAATTTGTTAAAAGGGTTAAAAAAAATATTTTTACAAACCATTTTTATTCGTTGTGTCATTTCCATCCTTCCAAGCAGTTTGATAAGCGCTAAAATCTCCACAAGCTGATGGAGGTGTATTTACTGGCAGATTTTTAGGCCATTCAGAAGATAATCCAACACTTGAAGAATAAAAAAATTTTCAAATCTAAAAAAGTAAAAAAAAACCTAGGAAAAATATTTTTGTGAGGATTTTTGGCATTATTAGAGCCTTGGCCATTATTATTATCATCAATAGAAAACATATCCATCCCATCCATTTCATCCTAAAACAACAAAAAAAATAAAAAATTTTAAAATTTACAATTACAGAGTCAGAAGGAATTGAAGCTGTTGAGCAAAAAGTTAACGGATTTTTATTATTTTCCGAAAAATTTTCCAATGTATTAGCGACCGATGATGCTTGATTTGCAACCTAAATAAATGTGGATTAAAATAAATTTTACCAAAAGTATTGGAGAATGAAGAATACGACCACGACCCCGTTCCAAACAATTTTCTCACAAATTACCTCAATTCGAACCAAACCCCAAAAACAACTTGAAACCCATGTACCCTTACAAAATAGAAGTGTAACACTATTCAAGAGCGCAGCCAAAAGGTGGGTGGTTGCAAATTTAAAATCCCCCCCCTTGAAATGGGAAAAGTGAAAAAATTTTAAGAGAAAAATTATCAGAAAAGTAAATTTTTTACGCCTACAACCCACAAAATTCTCAATATTTTCGCCTGCGGCGGCGCAAAATAAAAATATATGTATACAATAAATCGCGTTCGCATACCCCATTTTAGCCCCCTAAAACCTTGACACTATTTTAAAGTACAAAATAAAAATTTTCAAAAAAAAATTTCCAAACCATTTGACTACAAAGTTTAGATTGTTCAAGAGCTAATTTTGTCTGTTCAATAGCAAATTTCGAATCCTCAATTAAATCACTAATCAAATTAGAATTGCCAAAGTCATAAATTGGAGAATTTGTCCATTGCTGGAAAGTGTTTGTTGAGGGAGTTGTTTTCCAAAGATCTAAAAATAAATAAAGAATATAAAGCACAAATAAAATAACCTTGATCTACAGAAAAATTTCCTCCAGTAAAACTTGGAAGAGGAATATAAGGAGATCCTGAAATAATATAATTTTTTCATAAAAAAATGAAAAAAAATACCCGGAGCAGCAAACCAAGACGAATTCTTAAAAAAAGAAAATTTAATAACTTTTACAATTTTAAGCCATTGAAAAAACCTGTTGCTTGTCCTCAGTATATATTTCATCAAATGAAGGCTTAAGTGAAGCATAAACAAGTTTTGGGTGTTGGGAAGTAAAAGATGTTGAACCTTTTGACGCTTTATGTTTGCTAAGACATCCCTTCTTCAAATTCGATTGTTGTTGATCTAAATGTGTTGTAGAAGGAGGTTGAAGAACTCCAGAGACTGCCGAGGAGACTTTTAGAGGAAAATCAAATATTGTCTAAAATTGAAAAAAAAAATAGGTCAAAATCTCAATCAAAACCTCTTCAAAAATAAATCCAGAAGGTCCATATTCTCTCGACAATTTGCTGTGTAAACTGTTTGTCCATTGTTTAGACCAACTTCGACAAATAAGTGTCAATATTTCAACGCATTTTTGCATCAATTTATCAGCAGAATCTGCCAACTATTAGGTTGTAACATATTTAGTTGCCGTTTTTATTAAAAGTTTCGGGGTCTGAATTTTTATAGATTTTTAGTCTATGGTCATGAATTTTTGTACATATACTAATTAAACATTCCTCTAACAGCCTCTAAAATTTTAAAATTTTTTGTTAAGCATAGTAAGAGTTATGGTCGAAAAATTCGGGGTAGTCAAATTACCGATTTTTAGCAAATATATCGAAATATCTCGAAAATTATTGGTAAATGGTTGGCATGCGATATACCAATCGAAAGCTCTTCAAATGCTCTAACTAGCGAAAAAAAGAAAATTTTAAAAATTCGAACGAGAAAGAAAGTCGAAATTTCGACCCCTGAAATTTCGACCCTTGTTTCGACCAAAAAAGTTTTTTCGGTTTAGTTTCTCATATAGATCTGCGAGGGCTTCTGAATAACGTTCAAATTATCCAAATCGGATAACTTTACGCAAAGTTCAAAATTTTGAGTTTTTGGGGGGATGTCTACTCGTTTTTTCCATTACTTGACACAATGGTTTTTTGTAAATTTAATTCTCAATCTAAAAATTTTATAAAATTTTGTTAATACTATCTTGTGTAACTCAGAAAGGGCTTTCGAATGGTATATTACAAAGTATATTAAATCCAAAAATTTTTCAAGAAAATTTGAAATTTGTAAAATATGCCAGATTCGACTTTTTCGACCATAACTTTTGAAATACCTAACCAAAAAATCTCAGATTTAATAATTTGATAGACAACCCCATGTTGAACGTATATGAAAAATTTCACTTGGATTGGTTTATTTTTGTTTATATTATGAGATTTTCCGCTAAAGCTCAAAAAATGCTTTCCGAGTTAGGGGTATTCTAGAGGTCCTGAAGCGAGTATAAAACATGAAACTTGGAAACACCATATGTTAGATTAAAGAGCAGATCCTGGGCTTCAAAATGGTATATAGAACATGCAATTATGACATGCATGTTATGCCATTATGCCTTCTCGAAAAAAACGGCAACTAAATATGTTACAACCTAATAATAAGGAAAACCATCGTTTACTGCGACTGCGAATTTGATATATTTTTTGGTACCATCCGATAGAGGACTCTCGATTTACTACTATTGCTGTATGCGGGTTTTCTTGCAAAATTAGTTTGGGCCGAGTTATGGCCGTTAAATGTTAAACCACTAGAGTCTGGAGTTATAGGGAAAATGAAAAACTTCTCTCTTCTTTTTCATCCTCAAAAAGCCCAACCACCCCTCTTGTATTTGTTTATCGTGTTTGACATTTTTCTCCCGTTTTTTCCCTCGTGCCTCTTGCATTCTTTTTTCCTCTTTGTAAAACAATGTGAAGAAGGCAAAGAGAGCTCTTTTCCTTGTACTCAACTAATCCCAAGGACTGAAACTTTGAACGGCCATAACTCGGCCCAAACTAATTTTTGCAAGAAAACCCGCATACAACAATAGTAGTAAATCGAGGGTCCACTATCGAATGGTACCAAAAAATATATGAAATTCGCAGTCACAGTAAACGATGGTTCCTTGTGAGGAAATTTAACAGAAAAAGAGTGATTGTACTATCCTACAAACAAATGAAAGAAAAAAATAGGCCCAAATAACCATAAGTTTTCGTCGCTCAGGGCTCGAACCTGTTGAAAAAAAATTCGGACTGAAAAAATAAAAGGGAAAATAGAGAAATGAAAATGGGCCCTTTAAAATTCAAAATTCCAAACAACCTCAACAACACAACCAATTAAAACAAAAAGCCAATGCAGAGAATTAGCAGGTTGAACCTTGAACAAATTTTCCAATAATTTAGTTAATTCAACAAATAAAGTGTTCATGAATTGAAAAGCTTTGTTTAAAGAAAGTCCAGTCGGTGGCCACTGAATTATTTGAATAAAGTCACACAAAAGAATAGTCCATTTATGAGAAATTGTTCGTGAAGACGAATTGACATAAGCATTTTGTAAAATAGAAGGAATTGAGTCTAACAACAAATCAGAGAAGAGATCGATGGCGTTTCTGAAAAGTGTCAAATTTTAAGTAATTTTTCGGTAAAACATGACACGTGGCAAGGGCGTAGCCAGGAGGGGAGGCTGAAGCCCCCTCCCCCCGAAATGGGAGAAAGGGGAAAAATTTGAGGTAAAAAAGGGGTCTATATCTCGGTCCAATCAAGTCGGATTTCGTTGATTTTGGTGTCATTCGATTCAGCTCGACGAGCTCTTTCGAATGAGGTATAATTTGCATTTTCGAAATTTTCACCCCAAAAAAGTGCTTACTCCCCCCTTTGGTTTTTCGATTTTTCGGGACCTATAACTCTGTCCAGAATCATTTCCTGAAATTGGGAGTGGTACCGTTCGACTCAGCTCGCCGAGACGAATCGAATGACATATGTCTCGTCCCGAACTTTTACCTCCGGTGAACTACACTATATCCGGCTTTTCCACTATATATCTATTTTTAGACTCGTTTCAGGTAAATAGAACTTTTTAGGTAAATACTCTTGAGACGTAATTAGGCAATAAACATAAGAGATATGGCGAGAGGCCCTCAACCAACTGCTTGGTCCTTCTAAGGTTTTTAGGTATTCAAGTCAGTAACTCAGTCCCTGATTGCAGGCCAAGATTCCCCTGCTAGTTAAACTCAGGTTTCAAAGATCTTTCGAGTGACATGACCTCCGGAAACAAAAATGATCCATCTATAACCCACAGTACCCTGGATAAGTAGTGAAACCCCAATGTTCCTACCAAAATTTAAAAACAATTAAAGTGAAGAACCGGTGGAAAGGCTAAACCAATAGTAGACCCAAAAAAATGTATATGTATACCGTGTAAGCTTTTGAAGCTCAGAAGAGTGCACATTAGACTTCCATTCCTCTAAAATCCAAATCAAAATGTCCAAAGCTTTGTGTTGACTGCCAATTCTCTGTCCTTCAGTTACTGGCTTCCCATCATCATCTTTAAGTCCATTTATAGCAATACGAAGAAGTCCTTTATGAGCTCGAGTTTCAATAGTCAAAATTAAACGTTGAATATGAATCATCATTTTATCTCTAAATTTGATATTAAAGTTAAAACAAATTGCCCAAAAATAGGAGAATGGAAAGAAGAGTAGGAAAGGATTATAGCCGATTCAAGACACGGAGGATTCAAAATACGTAAATCGGCTCTATCTGAAAGGAGGTGCGAGATCACATTTTTCCTCCTTCCTTACACTGTCAGTTCTTATTTGAATATGCCACCGGGAAAATTAAGGTGAAGTGAAGACTGATCTTCATATTAAGGAAAAATGGAAGGTAGACTGACAAATGTAAGGAAGGACGAAAAAATGCAATCCCGCACCCCCTTTCAGATAGAGCCCGTAAATCTTTCAACTTGAAAAAGCTTCTTTTCTTGTTATTTTCTTACGCTCCACATTCTAAAGAAAATTTAAAAATCGAGCAAGCATTGACTCAAAAAATTTTTTAAATCCTAGGACCATTCTGAATCGGCGATTTTAGATCGGGGTTTACCGGGGAAGATGAGAGAAATAAAAATAGTGGTACTTTATGGATATGTCACCCCCCTCCTATTTTGAGTCTCAGAGTTTTCCTTAAACGTAGAAAATGGTCAGAGATTATTTTCTTCTCTATGTCAATCATTTTTTTCTTCTTCAAGTATTTTGCTGGTTTATTTTGCCTTTTCACATATTTTGTACTTAAATTTCACTCATTTTGTTGCTGCATTTACCACATTTCACTTATTTTGCTTGAATAAAGAAAAATGATTGACATGGAGAAGAAAATAATCTCTGACCATTTTCTACGTTTAAGGAAAACTCTGAGACTCAAAATAGGAGGGGGGGTGACATATCCATAAAGTACCAAAATAGTTTACAAACTCAATCAAAACAAATAAAAAAAATTTTAAAAGAATTGCTCATCAAAAATCGTGCCCGCTCAACTCATCGAATCCTTAACTCATCGAATCGACCAAAAACGCTCAACTCATCGAATCGGCTAAAATTCCTTAACTCATCGAATCGGCCAAAAACACTCAACTCATCGAATCCTTAACTCATCGAATCCTCAACTCATCGAATCGGCCAAAAACGATCAACTCATCGAATTTTTCCAAAAGGGGACGTTTGAGTCCCCTGTTTTTATTTTTCTCCCGAAAGGGCTAACTGAATCTTCGTTGAAAAAATTTTTTGCTGCTATGGAGGCTAGGAAAAAGGGCTTTTGGGCATAATCGGGGTCTACTGGACTAATTTGGTCCGGTTTTACCCGGTAAAATCTCCAGCATAATTTATTAGGAATGAGATAATGTTTTCAGGAATGAGATAATGTTCTGATAATGTTTTCACTGGCCGGATAAACTTGGATGAGTGCCCGATCAACTAATTAACAAAATTAGTTGAAACCCCAGAAGAAAACAAAAAAAAATAAACAAAACAATAAAAAATCTAAAAAATAAACACGGGGACTCAAACGTCCCCTTTTGGAAAAATTCGATGAGTTGATCGTTTTTGGCCGATTCGATGAGTTGAGGATTCGATGAGTTAAGGATTCGATGAGTTGAGTGTTTTTGGCCGATTCGATGAGTTGAGGATTCGATGAGTTAAGGATTCGATGAGTTGTAGGGTAGCCTCAAAAATTCTTTTCTTTTTTTCTCTAATTTACACAATATTTCGCTTATTTCTTTTAAAACATAACGCCAAAATACGCAGCTATTTAAAGGATAATGGCCAAAATATTAAATTTTTCTTTTTGTTTATTTTTTTTTCGGCAATCTGAACATTTGGATTTTTTGTAAACTTGACTAGTGTTTGGTAGTCGGTCCAAAATAATCAAAAAAAACTATTCTACGCCTATCCTCTTTTTGTTTTAATTCCGGAGGCTTAATTTTTAAAGAGAATTTTTTTTTCTAATATTTTTCGGAAAAATTTCTTTTATTTTTTTTAAATTTCCTCCCTCCCCTTCCTTCTTTAATTTTTTAATTTCAATTTATTTCCCTCCTAATCAATAATTCAGATTCAAAAATCTGACTTTAAAAAATATTAAAAATTAACTATATAATTTCACACTTTCCGTCACGCTTTTTGTCCTTTTTTAAAAAGAAAAACAGAATTTGTTTTGACACGAAAAATTTTCTTTTTAAAAAATAAGAGAGAAAAATTTGTTTTTCTCTAATTTTTAATGGTAAAGTTAGGTGTAAACAAAAACAACCAGCCATCTGCCATTTAGACGCGGCAGTTACCAGCCGTCTGCCTTTTATTCGCAAGCAGTAATTTTAAAAATAAATCGCAGCCTTTAAGCCGCAAACACTATTAGAGCCAAATAAGGATATTGAGGATTTTAGGATTAAAAAAAATAAAATTAAAAATTATTAAAGGGTGTTTGGTGATTAATTGAATACTAAGTATTTGAGGAGATGAAGGTGAATTAGGATAATAAAGTTAACGGCAGATTTGTAGGGGATTAAGTGAATAACGGAGGTGAACTGTGATTCGGGAGAGTTAATGCAGAATGATGTATGGGGGTTTGAGGATTGTAAAGATTATCGGGGATTTGCGTATTAAGAGGGTAAAAGATAGTGATAAAGGGGATATCGTAGATTGTGGGAAATTAAGGGAATATTGCGACTTGAGCAAATGTATGGCGGATTTTGAGGATTAATAGGGATATCAGAGATTGGAAGAAAAAAGAGAAATAAAGAAGAGTTAATAGAGATATAAACTATCTTGGGAACTTACGAGTGAGAGTGTTAAAGAGAATATCAGTACGTAGAATTGATATTGGGGGATTTACATTAAAAACATAAGTTCTGTAAAGATATGGAGGATTTGAGATATAAAGTGGGATATATAGGGGATTTTTTAGTTACAAACATGATAAATGCGGATTTAATGAAGGGATTTTGGGGATTTCGTACATTAAGACGGATATTGGGGAGCTATACGGGATTTTGAGTATTTGGGGTATATTAATATGTATTTAGGAAATACAAGAACAGCTTTTGGTGATTATAAGTGACTTTGATGTGTGATTGGAGAAAATCAATAGTTTTGTGGGCTTAATATTGATATTGAGGGATGCGGATTAAGATATGATTTTGGGGATATTGGTAAAAGATTAGTATCAAAGGATAATAAAGATATCGGGGATTAGGGTAATTAAGAAGGCTTTCGAGGATTAGAGTGATACGCAACACAAAAATAAGAAAAATGAGTGAAAGCCTATGAAACATAATCATTGGAGACTAAGGGATTAATAGCAAAAAGGGGAGTTATTGGAAGGATTTCGAGAAATAATGAGAAAGATTTGGTAATTAAGAGGGATATCCAGGATTTGGTATGATTAAGAGGGATATCGTGTATTTGATGAATAAAGGAATATATTGTGTTTTGGACAAATTACATCTGAGAGTTAGATTATTTAACTGGAAGGATATCGATGAAAAATATTCAAAAATAATATTCAAAATAAAAATATATTAAAGGATATCTTTAATCTTATATGATTATAAGATTAAAGGGTATTTATGGTTACGTGTATATCAAAGAATTTAGGAAGATATCGTTGAATTAGGGATAAAAATAGGTAGTTGGGGATATGTTGAGTAATATAAGTGGATTTGGGACAAATAGGTGGGATATCGCGGATTTACGGGTTTAAAGGTGATATAGAAGGATTTGGGAGACCAAAAGTGATATAGTGGGAGATAAAGGGTGATATCTGGGATTTTTAAAAATAAAAAGAGATATTTGCGACGTGAAAAATAATGAGTGATATAGGGGGATTTGATATGAATAAGATGGATCAAGTGTTAATGGTGATATACATGAGTTTGGAAATAGAGTTTTGGGTGTTTTGGGAGATAATAGGCGATATTTGTATTTTGGAGAATAAAATGCGTTTTCAGATAATAGGGGATTAAGAAGAATAACATAGGATTAAAAGTGATAACGTACTTTTTGTCTCAGGGATATTAGGGGTTTCAGGATAAAGGGTGATATCAAATGTTTTGTTGGGAAAAAGGGTATTTTCTACGAAAACAAAGTTTGTAAAGTGAAATTTGTGTAAATAGCGGTATCGGAGAGGTAATTAACAAACATATTTTATGATTTGAGGGGATTAGTGAATCGGAGGATTTGGGAGAGATTAAGGGTATAGCAGATAAAGCGTGATAGTAAAAATGATTTAGCGCGTTTGGGAGGTGGGGGAGTTGATTAAAGACCTATATCAGACCGGAGGGTGGCAAAGGGTGATGTGAGATTTGGTGATGTTTAGGTGAGATACCAGATGATTTGGAGAAAAAGGATTTTGGTGAAAAAGGGTGATATTTAGGATTTGGGTGTAATTAAGAGGGATGACAGAGGATTTGGGGACTTTTGGTTAATATCTAGGTTTTGTGAGATAAAGGGTGATAACTGCGGAGTACGAAAAGGGATTTCGTATGGTGATATATCAGGGGATTTGGTGTGATTAAGAGGGATATCAGACGATTTCGGGGCTAAAGGGTAATATATGAAATTTTGGGGTGCAAAGTAGAAATATCGATGTTTTGGGGCCTAAAAAGTAATATCTGAGTTTTTGGGGATACGTATTGATATCTGTGTTTTTGGGGATAGTTATGAGAGATATCAGAACATTAGGGAGGGGATTAACAGGACGATGGTTAAGAGGGATATTGCAGATTTTTGAAGATAAAGGGTGATAGCTGTGATGTGTGATTAAGAGATATTTCATAAGATTAGAGTCTAATGGGTGATTCAGGGATTTTGGAATGTTTATGAGGCATATTAGAGAAATGAGTGTGATTAATTGGTGGTGAGTAAGAGAGTGGTGCTAAAAAATGGTAGTCTATCCATGATTTGAGTGTGATTAAGAGCGATTTCACATGAGTTGGGGGCTAAAGGGCGATTCTGCGATTTTGGTGGTGATTAAGAGAATATCAAATGATTTGGGAATAAAGAGTAATATTAGGGAATTGGGCTTGACAATTGATGAGAAGAGTCCATAACAAGTGAGAAGTTGGGGATTTGAGTCCGTCAAAGTGTGAGGTTGATCTAAGAAGAATTACAAGGTGTTGTACGAGCGTTAGGACGCGCGAAGCGCGTCCTAACGCTCGTTAAGAAAAAAGCGGCGTCACTTCCACAACGGTGGGCACAAAGCGAATTAGTTTATGCCCTTTTGAGGAAGGAAAAAAGGGAGGGGAGGGAAGGAACTCAATTTTATTTTAACTTTTATTTTTTTTTTCAAATCTTCACAAAATAATTTTTTCTCTTTAAAAAAAATAATTTATTTAACAACCTTGTACAAATATATAAATTAAAAAAAATTTTTTTCGATTCGGACAGATTTTCTTTTAGTTAACACAAAAACCCCCTTAAATTTCGATCGAATCCAAAGGCAAAAATTAATTGTAAATTAGGCTTGTTCACTACTCGTTATTAATCGGTAACCACGGTTTTTCGGTTAATCCACATTTTAAAAAACACCGCTTTTGGTCTTAAGTTTAAGGTAAATATAAGCTTTTTTGGAGGGATTTTCTTAAGAAACGGCTCTATTTTAGTACATGCGTCCCATCATTTATGCGTCCCACATCTAGTTGAGGGACGCATATACTTTGATGGGACGCATAAAAGCTCATGGGACGCATGTCCTAAAATAGAGCCGAAATTACTTATTTTCAAGAAATCTTGGGGTTTAAATAGAGGTCGGCGCAGGACAGGATTCTGCACAGGATTTTTTAGGATCCCGTCCGAAATCCTGCCTTTTTTTCAGTTTTCAGGATTTTCAGGCTTAATCCTACAGACCCTATAGATCCTGTCCTTTTCGAAATTTTAGAACCCAATCCTGATGCCCTGCAAGTGTAATTTTACCAACCTCTAGTTTTAAACCGATCGTGAAGCTTGAGCTTTTAAGCTTGAGCTTTACCCATGAGCTTTTATACGTCCCATCAGACAATTACGTCCCACACTAGTTGAAGGACGCATATTCTCTGATGGGACGCATAAAAGCTCATAGGACGCATGTCCTAAACTAGAGCTGAAATTACTTAATTTCAAAAAAATTTTTGGGTTTAAAACCGATCGTGATTCAAAAATTTTTGGTTCTAAAATCATGTCGTGAACAAACCCCTAATTTAAAAATAAAATTAAAAAAATTAATTTTTAAAAATAATTTCCATAAAACACCCATTTTTGACTTTCCACCGTTTCATCACACTTATTAAAATAAATATCATCTCCAGAATTTAGCCCTTCAATATCCAAACATAGGCCGCTATTTAAATGTCGTAAAAGTCCTCCCTATAAATTAAAAAAAAAAATTTTTTTTTCAAAAAATTTTTTAAAAAAACTTTAAAATGTTCAAATTGTATTAATTGACTTTTTACACAATCCTTTAATACAACTTTTTGTTTTCCTTTCAAATTTTTATTTATTGGATCAATATCAACACAAGTTGTTTCTCGTCTTAATTGCTTGTCTTTACTCCAACTAAAAGCCTTGAAGAAAAAAGAATTTTTTAAAATTATTTTTAAAATTAATTTTTTTTATTTCTCAGCCAACCCTCCCCCCTCCCCCTCCACTTATTTTATTTTTAAAAATTTTAAAAATAATTCGAACCTCATTTTTAAATACCCCTCCCCCCTCTCCCAAAGGTGGGTCGGAACAGTCAGAGGTTTCGGAAATCGGAACTGCCGGAAATTGGAAATGGCTCAAAAGTCGGAACTCGGAAATCAAAAAAATTTTTTCGGAACTCGGAAATTTTTTCGGAAATCGGAAATCACAATTTTTTTCGGAACTCGGAACTCGGAAATTTTTTTCGGAAATCGGAATGAAAAAAACGCCGGAAATCGGAATTCCGACCCACCTCCCCCTCTCCCTTCATGTCGGAAAAAATCGTGCCTTATTGTGAGGAGTATTTTAAATAGAAAGTATCTCTTAGGCAGCTTTTCCCACCCACTTGCCTTCCAACCAGAGGTGAATCGGAATTCCGAGTTCCGACTTTTGAGCCATTTCCAATTTCCGACAGTTCCGATTTCCGGTAACTTCGTCATTTCCGATTCACCTCTGCTTCCAACCGATCCGAAGAAATTTTGAAATCTGCCCTAACTTTTTTTCTCAACCCGTAACACCCCTGCCTTTTAAATTTTAAAGAAGCGAATCTTAAATTGAGGGGGAGATTAAAATATATTTTTGACATTTTTACAAAAATAATTCTTTAAAAAAATTTAAGAGGAAAAAATGTTTTTTGATATACAGGAAAATGAAATTGACCCAAAAGATTATATTCCAATATTAAATAAATCATCACAACAACCAATACAAACATCCCCTACACCCTCAACTTCAGAAACAACACAAAATGAGGAAAACAAGTAAAAACAGAAATGTTTTTATTAAATCAGAATTATTCAAAATTTGTGGGGAAAAATAATTAATTCTGATTTTTCCGGAAGGTTATTTTAAATTAATTCTGATTTTTCCGGAAAGTTATTTTAAATAAATTCTGATTTTTCCGGAAAGTTATTTTAAATAAATTCTGATTTTTCCGGAAAGTTATTTTAAATAAATTCTGATTTTTCCGGAAAGTTATTTTAAATAAATTCTGATTTTTCCGGAAAGTTATTTTAAATAAATTCTGATTTTTCCGGAAAGTTATTTTAAATTAATTCTGATTTTTCCGGAAAGTTATTTTAAATTAATTCTGATTTTTCCGGAAGGTTATTTTAAATTAATTCTGATTTTTAGAATTCTGATTTTTGTCGTTAAAAATCAGAATTAATTCAAAACTTTCCGGAAAAACCTTATTTTTAGTGACATAAACAACAACAATACATCCAAACAACACAAAAACAACAAAATAAACCTACCTGAAGAATATTCTGAATATTATTATTTTATGGCCTACGAACATTTTGCTTTGTCTAGAGCTACAATTAAAGAAATGTGCCTGCCTGGGACTGCCTGCGATGTTCATATTTATTTTTATGTAAATTTAATTTTTTGCGGACAAAATTTGCGGACATTAAAAAAATTTTGTAATTTTTTTCGAAAAAATTAAAAATTATTTTTAAAATTCAAAAAAAAATTTTTTTTAATGTCCGCAAAAAATTTTTTTGTCCGCAAATTTTGTCCGCAAAAAATTTTTTTGTCCGCAAATTTTGTCCGCAAAAATTTTTTTTTTCAAAAAATTATTTTTTTCAGGAAAATTTTACTCAACTTCCCCAAATTGGAGTTTCTTGTCTTTCTTTGAACGATTTATGGAGTGAACAGGCAGAAATGCAAGGAGAGGAAACTAGACCAGAAAATTTGTCTTTTATTAAATTAATTAATTACAAAGAAAATACAAGGCATTGGGTGGATATTGAACCTTTACCTTCTCAAATATTGACAATTTCTTTGGATTGTGCTGACAAAAAAGGATTAAAGGTTTTTTTTGAACATTTTTTGGGGAAAGTTTGTTTAAAAAATGTGTCCGCAACTTTTGTCCGCAAAAATTTTTCTTTAATTTTAAGGAGAAGGGGGGGTCCAAAAGGGGGCTAATAGGCATTAAAATTGGTAGAATTTTAGGAAATAATTTTTCTATCTTTTAAAATTGAGAATTATGAGTTCCGGAGTTCCTCATTTAATTTTTGATTTTTTTATAAAAATTAGGCAGCAAAATCCGAAAAAATAGGAAATCCGAAAAAATAGGATAATAGGCATTAAATTTTTTTTTAGAATTTTAGGAAAAGAATTTTTCTATTAATTTTCTCTTTAAATTGGAGTAAAAAAACCAATTTTCAACAAAATAATTATTTTTCCTACCCCTTCTAAAATTATTTTTTAATTTTTTCGAATTTTAAGTTAAGGGTTTTTTAAGGGTTTAGGGTCAAGTAAAATTATATTCCGGAGTTCCCCGTAGAAAAAGTATTAAATTTAAATTAAAAAAATTTTTTTTAAAGATTCGTTTTTCAATAATGCAAGAACCCCCTTCAAGTTGGTTTTGGATAAAATACCCAGTTTTGGTTAATGATTTTTCTTTGGTTATTGGAATTGAAAAAAAGGAATTATTGAGGAGATGTATTTTTAAAGGAGAAATTGTTTTTGTTAGTTTTTCTTTTTAATTTTTTTAAAATTTTCTTCCCTCCTCTTTCACACCCCCCTCCCCTCAATTAATTTCCCAATATCCATCCCCCTATGGCGTAGCCAGGGAGTCGATTTCAAGGGGGCTAAAAAAGCTTTTTGCTTTCAGGGGGCTGTTTGAAAGGGACTGTCTCACAATATTTTCTCCTTTTCCCCATTTCAGGAGGCCCCAAAAGCCCTCTCTGGCTAAAATAAAAAATCCTGGCTACGTCCCAGGGGTGTGCGAGTTTCGTCTTTCGCGTTTCGCTTTTTAAAATCCGTTTCGGCGCACCCCTGCTACGTCCTAGTCCTCCCCCATTACCAGAGGTGGGTCGGAATTTCGATTTCCGACGTTTTTTTCCTTCCGATTTCTGAAAAAAATTTCCGAGTTCCGAGTTCCGACTTTTGAGCCAGTTCCGATTTACGGCTCTTCCTTTTCCGACACCTCTGACTGTTCCGACCCACCCCCTGCCCCACTCCCTCCTCTGCCTCTCCGTCCATAATTTCTACCGAAAGAAATTTCTACCGAAAATTTTAGGAAGGTTCTTTACAAATTTTGACAACTTTTGGTTTATTAAATGCATTATATGATCAAGAAAAGAAAAAAAGAGAAGAAAATAATGATGAAAATGAAGAAAATATAATTAAATTTAATTTGGATGAGGAGGAAGAAGAAGGAAAACAAAAAGAAGAATGCATTTTTTGTTTTAGAAAAGGATCTAATATTTTATTTTATCCTTGTAAGTTTTTTTTTTGAAAAATATTTTTGAAGAAGGGGAAAATAAAAAAAGAATTTTTTAAACTCCCCAAACTTCTCAGGAAGTTGTTCATCCTAAACCTTAAACTAGGGTTGCACAGGGTCGAGGCCCCGCCGAGGTCCTCACCCATTTGCAATCTCGGATTGACCGGCCTCGGTCCTCGTCAAGAACCTCGCCTTTTACTAGGGTTGTTCCCCGCCCCCGTGGCGCTGCCTCCCCGAAAATTGTTCCCCTTAGCCTTCCCCCGTCGAGGAATAACTCTAGAATTGCCAATTTTTTTTATTTAAAAGTATTTTTGCGGGCACCCCCTCCCCTTCTTCAATTTCTTTGAAATTTTTGAAAATATCCACAACAAACCGAAAGATCTTCGGTTCTTCTGATCGATCCTCCGATTTTGTGAACTGACCAGCTCCAGTACCCAAAATAAGGATTAGAAATCGAGATTTTTGAAAAGCCAGTTCCTTGACTCTGGGGTTTGATTTATTGACCTAGGCCGGATCCTGGGCCAGTAGTCCAGGAAAAACCCCAAGCCCAGGAAAAATTCAGGAAGGTCAAAAAATGCCTGGGCCTGGACTCTGGGTACTGGAAGAACCCAGGCCTTGGTCCAGGCCCAGCTCGATTAGGGAAATGTAAGGGTTGACTTTAATTTTTTATTTTTTTAAAGGTAATCATTGCAAAGTCCATGAAAAATGTTTAGTTGGAAAAAAAGTAGATAAATGCTATTTTTGTGATACTAAATGTATTAAATTTTTTAAATTAAAATTTTAGATTAATTAATTTTTTATTTAGGTGAAAAATTAATTAAATTAAAATTTCCCCAACAAATTAACAATAAAAATTCAATGGAATGTTTATTTTGTGAATATGGAAAATGTCAAAAATTTGATTGTTATTATTACCCTTGCGGTAATTAATTTTTAATTTTTAAAAAAATTTTTAAAAGCAATTGTAGGGAATTAGGGGGAGATCCTGTTGGCTATATTTAAGTGGGTCGGAACAGTCAAAGGTGCTGGAAATCGGAAGAGTCGGAAACTAGTTGAGGTTTAAAAATAGGTTAAAACAGAAACCCGTTAACTTAATTGGCATAGAGTAGAGATCGAGCTGGGTCTGAACCAAGGCATGGGTTTTTCTTTTACCCAGAGTCCAGGTCCAGGCATTTTTTGGCCTTCTCGGGGTTTTCCTGGGTATTTTCCTGGACTACAGGCCCAGGATCCTGCCCAAGGTCAATAAATCAAACCCGGGTACAGGCCCAAGCTTTTCAAAAATCTCGATCACTAGCGTAGAGTATTTTAAGGTGCCTGGATAAACGCCGGAAGGTGGCAAGATCAATGCCTTCAGGTAGTGATGTTCGGGAGAAGAAAAAACCCTAAAAATGAGAGCCGGGTCGGGAAATGACCCCTGGAGAGGGAGGTCAAAAACTCGAGAAATTTTATCAAGTCGGGAGTCGGGATTCCCGAACATCACTGCTGTCCGGGCTGATTTTTTTTTGATATTTTTGAGTTTAAAATATTTTCCAAAATAATTCAAGTCGATAGCGACGGAATTTTAGAATTTTTGGGGATTAGCCTAGCAAAGTCGTGTTCACTTTCAGAATCCCCTCAGAATTACTCTCAAATATTAAATCTTTTTTAAAAAAATAAAAAATAATTTTAAGGTTGTGCTTTAGGCTGCTTTGACGGTTTTAAAAAAGCATTGGAAAAGCAAGATTCAAAAATGAGTTTAAGATGTGTAAATTGTAAGGAAAAGGGATTTTAAAATTAAAAAAATTTTTTTTGAATTAAAGGTGGAAATATGATTGAAAATGTAATGCAATTTTATAGAGGATAAATAAGTAATTCTTGAAGAAAAAGAAATTTTTTGGGAGCAGGCCAACTTACCGCAGAGCTATAACTTCATTCAAATTGTCGAATCCGGGACGACCTGATATGGTTCGATACGCCTCGACGAGCTGAATCGAACCATACCAGGTCGTCCCGGATTCAACCATTTTTAACGAAGTTATAACTCTGCGGCAAGTTGGGCCCCAAGTTGGGGTGTACCCAGATTTTTTGTTGCTGACTTTTTCACTTAAAAGTAATTTTTATTTAATTATTCGAGACTCATTTTTAATTAATTTATTTTTTCATTTTTTTATTCAATTATTGCCTCATTTTTTACAAAAGTTTTAATTTATTTTTTTGTTGAAATTTTATTAGCTCTTTTCGTTAGAATAAAATTTTTGAAAAAAGTTTTTTTTAATTCTAATTAATATTTTAAAAGCACAACACCCCTTCAATTAACCCCCATGTTCGTTTTAAATGTCTATTTTCGTTCGTTACAAACTTCTCGATATCCCTATTAATCCCCCAAATTCCTCCTTAGTCAACTTTCCTCCTTAGCCAACTTTTAATTAGAAAATTATTTTTATTTCATCTGGATCCCTGGTACACACTAGAGATGGTCGGGTTGAGAAAAAAGTCGGGTTTCGGGTCGAAAAGTCCGGGTCTCGGTCGGGTTTCATGTAGAAAAAAAGCACGGAAGCAAACATTAATTTTCTCCTACTTTTTTTCCCTTGAAAATTTTTTGATTTCAAAATTCCAACAGTCGAGCTAGTTCCAATTTCCGACACCAAAAGAGTATTTGGAAAGCTTCCTCAAACAATCAGCTCCTTCCCCATTTAAAAAAGAGAAAAGTCTACCTGTGAAGAACTTCCCTCAATTTGGCATTCCCACACACCCAAATTAACAATCCCTTTATTTTCTAGTCTTTGTAAAGTATCCAAACAAAGTTTTCCATTTAAATTTTGAACCTTTTTTTGTTTTTAAATTCTTAATTAAAAACAGAAAAATATTTATATAACTAACCAAGCCATAAGCCTAAAAAAAAAGGAAACATTTTTTTCTAATTTAAAATAATTTTTGGACCTCACTATAAAAATAAACCCTCTTGAGAATAAAAGATTTAAGAAGAGAGAGTAGTAAAAGTCTAGCCCCCGAGGAGGCATCGATCCTGCGACCTATGACGATGGCAGTTATTGCTAAATACCAGGGATGGATAATTTTGAATTTTAAAAATGTCAGACGGAAGCGGAAAGGTCAAAAAAGACGAAGGGCGGAAGAAAATCCACCCAACTATATGAGCTACAAGGGTGCTGTTTTTACCTTTTCTCTTTTTTAAGAACCCCAGCCTAATAAAAACATTTTAAATGATAGCCATCCTTGTCTCTCCTACCAAAAGATTCCCAGTTTTATCTTCTTTTTCCTTACATTTTTATTTTATAATGAGATTTGTTTAAATTTTAGGGCTACTTTTAATAGTGAGGTCAAAGAATATATTCTCTCACCTTAACATCTTCATCTGGTACAAACTTTTCTGGAATAACATTATCCAAAAACCATTTAAAAGATTTACAATTTAATCTTTTTCTAAGTAATATTCTTTCACTTAAATCGCCAACATCAACATTCTAAATTTAAAAAAATATGGAGATAATCTCTCTAATTTGAGAATAATAGTATCCAATATAGACTAATCAAACAAGCGCGGCAGAAAGGGAAAAGATAATAATTACTAGTGTTGTCGGTTCTGAACCGAACCGAAGAACCGATGATTTTTCGGTTCTGTTCTTTAGTTCAGTTCCGGATATCTAAAGAGAACTGACAACCCTAATTATAACTATCTAATGAATAAATTAATTTGTTTGTATTTTTTCGTTTCTAGGACACGTTGAACAAGTTTTTAACGTTCTAAGAAAAGGATCTAAGAACCGTGAATTTTTAGAATCGTGATAAGGAAAACCAGAGTGAAGACCTGATGGAGTACGAGATATCTCGAAAAATCTCTAGTTCGATTTTTGTTCGAGAACTCACTTTTCTAAACACGAGAGAGTAAGAAAGGGTCACTCAAATAATTTTTAAAAATTTCCAAAAAATTTCAATTTTCCCTACTTTTAACCCCATTCTGTGCACATAAAATAGCCTTTTATAATCATCCATCCAAACTTCTGCCAGCCTTTTAGAATTTGTCCCGTGAACGTCTTTATTGTTGCCCGGACCTGTCATGTTGTAAGGATGGCCATTTCGGTAAATATGCCCAACATGTGAACAGGGAATTATTTCTAATGATCCGCCACACATCCAAACCTTTTTTAAAGTTAGAAAAAAATTTTTGTTTGAAAAAAGGTAGTCGATATACCTTGTGTCTAAGAAATTTACACCGATACACCTACCTTAAATTTAGGTGTATCGCTTAGACACCTCCCCCCTCCTCTCCAATAGAAAAAAGTATTTAAATTAAATGCACGATACCTCCCTTATGCCGTAGTTACATAAAAAGCGCCTTGCGTTTTGCGACAAAAATAGCATTTAAAAGAAGGAGAGACAAAATCGCATCTCTTCATTCCCAATGATATTTTTTTGTCGCAAGACGCTTTTTATGTAACTACGGCATTAAAGGGTTCGTCAATCCCAAGAAATCTCTAGACATCCGAAGGATCATTCGATCGAAAATTTTCGGATATCTGAGCTTTTTTGGATCTGAGAGAGGAAAGAGAGCGCCTAAGCCTTTGTAGGCTCTCTCTCTAGAGGTCGATCGGAAATGACGAAGATGCCGGAAATCGGAACTCGGAAATCGGAAGGAAAAAACAACGGAAATCAGAATTCCTATCGACCTCTGGCTCTCTCTACAACCCTACTCCCTTTTACCTAATTATGATACCCCCTACAGTTATAAAATAGAGAGATTCGACTTTAATTTTAATTTTATTTATTTCCTCCTTACTCTAAAAGATATTTCCAAATTCTCTCCACCCCAAATATCCATTCCAGGGTCATAACCTCCAACTTCAAAAAAATATTCTCTGTTAACAGCAAATAACCCTCCAGCCATTGTAGGGGTTAATAAAGGGTCTACTTCCGGATTTTTCCTTCTTTTCTTTTCTCTTTCAGGTATTTCAGACATACTATAGTGCAAACTCCACCTTGTAAAAAATATTTTTTTTAAATCAAAATTATTTTTGTACCAACCAAAAAGTCCCTATACCACCAGCACCCCCAATTTGATATTCCATTGTTTGATCCTTTAAAATAATTTTAGTAAAATTCTTATTAAATTGAAATTTTGGGGGCCAGGGATCGCGCCGACCCGATTCCCGAAAATCTGGAATTTGAGAATCTGTCGGCGCGTTCCCTGGTAAGGACGATTCACTTGGAGCATTTAAAAGGCTTAGGCGGGGATTTAACGAGCTAAAAGGATACATAGAAGAGAAATCACTAGTCGTTGCCCCGGTAGTATAGTGGTAGAGCTCCTGTATATGGTGAGCGAAAGCACCTAGCAATAACTGCAAGGGCATTGATCCCGGAAGTTGTTTGCTAGATATGTACTTTAATGCTGGTCTTCCAAAATTCTCAAAATTTCTGCCTTTGGCGCAGAGAAAGAAAGAAAGATTATTGGCTTCTTAACCCCTTCCTGGCCATTCTTTCTGGCCGATTTCGACGACTTTTTGTAAAGCCATGCCCCCGTTTTTGGTGGTTTGGAAGGGGGGAACCTTGTTCTCGCCTACTAAAGCAACTAACAAAAAGCCTAGAAAAGTCGAAAAGCCTAGAAAAAGTCGAAACTATTAATTCAATCCTAAAATAAAAATTCAAAAAAATTTACAGAAATAATATCAATAACGGGGCAAACAACAGCTGAACGTTGTTTTTTAATTCTTTGAAGTAGAGGTTCTAACCTAAAAATTTTTTCAAATTTAAAAAAAATTCCCTTCCAAATTACCATCCTTCATTAGCCTCACAATGAGAATCTAAAAAGACAACAACATCCCCTCTAGCATATTTAGCACCAGCCAGTTTTGCTCTAATCAATCCTAATCTAGTATGGGCTCGTAAAAGACGAACTTTTTTGCCAAAACGGCGTAAATGTTCAATTAAAGGAAAGCCAAGATTTTCTTTAAAAATTGAAAAAATAAAAATTAATCAGTCTCTCCATTAGAGACGGACTTAGAGGGTCGTACGGGAATTAAGATCGAGATCTCGTAAAATATCGAACTCGATAGCCTATATTTTTTTTCGAGATCTCGTCTCGGTCTGATCTCTACTTTCCATCCCCAAAAATGTTTAGAGAGACAATTAAGAGAAGGGACTTGATTGAGGATTAAACCAGAGGCGAGCTGGTTCGATTCAATATCTTGTGTTGGATATAGGTAGTAGGGTTGACGGCCCGACGGCCCCTCGAATCGGGCATCGAATTTCGACCTGAAAAAGACTCGACCGGTCCGGCCCGAAAAAATAAGGCCCGAAAAAATGACTCGAACGTCGGCACGGTTCGAAAACGGCAACTCTAGTTGCTAGCCCTCTCCCTCTAATCCCTCCTCCAAACTTTTTCTTGGAATGAAAAACAATTCCCCTACTGTGGGTATCATGTATTTTAATGTTATATTTTTCCAACCCAAGGGTGTATATTCGAATGTATTTTTACCATGTTGGCTAAAGTCATCCACTAGAACCTAAATAATATTTTTTATTTTTTAAAAATTTATTTTTATAACTTTACCACTTCTCTAAGTAAATTATCTGGAGTTCTATTAATTACAGAATGTACAGTTCGAAGCAAAACAGAAGGATATTCATCAGTAAATACTTAAATATTTTTTTAAAAATTATTTGTGAAATATATTAAGGACTCTAAGAAGGGAAGTAATTCACCCCATTTTGACTTGAGATTAAATTATAAACAAAAAGAGGACAGTCTCGAGTTTAAAGTAGAGTTAGGACTAGTGCCCGGCAAAATCGATCTTGCCAGATCCGGATTTGCAAGTAGAGCCGGAACGGATCCGGCCGGATCTTTCTGGATTAATCCGGTCCGGAAAAAACCCGGAGATCGCGAAAAAACCCGGATTTGGAACCCGGACTCCGGATAATCCGGCCGGATCCTATCCGACGCCGGGCACTAGTTAAGACTAATTGAATATTCGATTGAATAATTTCAAATACTTACTTTGAATTGGAACTTGGACCGACTTTTTTATGCAAAACCGATACTTTTCGAGTTCCAATCTTTCCCAATTTTATTCTGATTTTGTCTATATTTTCTTAATTTTTACAAAAATGGAGGACCGAAAAAGTTGCCCTTCCCCCTCTCCCCTTTTTTCCCTTCCCTCTCCTTTTTAAAAATTAATTTACCAATAATAACCGAAGCTCTAGGCAAATCTTTATCATAAATTTGTGAATGACATAAACGAGTTCTAGAATCAGGAATTGAACGGTCCAGGGAAATTAAATCGCTAAAAAATAAAATTTTAATTTATTTTGAGACTTGTATTTTGCCCTTATTTTGTTTTGTTCTTTTAAAATGACCCGGAACGAGTTTTCAGAAAGTTACCCTCAAAAAACTGGATTTTATTTTAGAAATTATTATTCTGACTTATAGGCATGTGAAGCAAGGGTGTGCCGAAAGTGATTTTAAAAAAGACGAAAGGCGAAGCCCTCCCCCTCCCCCTTCCCCCTGCTGTCAAGCCAGTCATGGATAAGAATTTGGCGGTTAGTGGTACCCGAAGATTTTCCATAAGCCACCAAGTACTAGTCAAAGTCTCCTAATCAAAGTCCCTCTAAAAAACCATTTCCCCCTCCCCTCCCTCAATTACCTTTAAATTAATTAAATTCCTATTTTGACCTATAGGCCTGTAAAGCCAGTCAGCCAGTCATGGGTAAGAGGTTGGCAGTTCAGTTTTTTTCAGGTTCAAGAGGTTCCGGGTTCTCGAAGATTTTCCATAAGCCACGAAGAACTGGTCACAGTCTCCTAATCAAAGTCCCTCTAAAAACCATTTCCCTCCCCTTCCCCCTCCCTTCCCTCCCTCAATTTCCCCTCCTCCCCTTCCTCCCTCAATTACCTACCTAGCCACGACATTCATAAACCACTCCTTTTTAAGTTTTTCAGCTTTAATTTTTTGTTCTCCACTTAAAATAACAGGAGAACCATTTTCTCCAATTCCAGTCCTTTTTATATTTTTTGAAGGAATTTTGTGTTGTTGGGAATGACCAAAAAAGGATAATTCTGAAATTTGTTCTTCTGTTATGTTGAAATTTAAATTGAGAAATTCTGCTGGAATTGCGTGCCTATTTAGTTGAAATAATTTTTAAAAAAAATTAATTTAAGGAAGGAAAGGTTTAGGATGGGAGAACTTTAAGCGTCGATAGCGAAACAGATTTTAAAAAGTGAAAGGCGAAAGACGGAAGACGAAATGGCACACTCCTGATCTGTAGGTGGTGAACGAAGCGCCATAGCAATAACTGCCGAGAGGTTTTTATTTGAAGAATACAACAAATGGATCCCCAAAAATATTAATAGGGGTACTTATGGAATTGTTGTAGTTCCCGTCCCGGGCTTTTCAAAATTAAGCAAATCCCCTTTAGGAATGCTGATAGAGGATATTATAATAGGTATATTAATCAACTTCCCCCAGTTAAATATTCTTTTTTGTGATGAGTAAAATTTATGTTTAGTAGAGTTACCAAAAAAACGGAAGAAGGCTGATTCAACTAACCAAAGAATTTTGGTAAAATCCAAGAAAGCCTTTACTCATTTCCACCCCCACAAAGAAATATTCCTATTTTTATTACCTCCCAATTAATTTTAATTTAAATTTACCCATCAGGAAAGACTCCCTCCCTTTGTTGAATTAAATTAGTATCAATCCAAGCATAAAACATAACATAAACAACAAAAAAACAAATTCCAATAATTAAAGTTAAAGCCCATCGAACACGTGTAAACTTCCGCCTTTTTCTTTTTTGTTGTTGAAGTTCTGTTGAGTGTTTGTAGGGGAAAAATATTTTTTGTAAAATTGTTGGGGACATTTATTAACTGAAAATTATTTTTTTTAATTAAAAATACCTTCTATTTAGTAAACCTCTATGTAATTAATGGTATTTTTGACGATTAAATTCAAATATCTAATAAATGAGGAAGATAAAATAAAACTAAATCGGCTATATTAAATAAATATAAGGAATGGACCGTGTTACCTAAAATCTGGATTTTTCTTCGATTGAAATCCAAACAAACTTTTAAGTTTAAGAAAGTAGAAAGCCTAGAATTTATTTAAAAAAAAGATTTTTCTTGTAGCATGTATGTACCAGGAATCCTGCCTATCCGCTTCCCTAAAATCGGGAATTTATTATGTCGGGAAGATCACTGAATTTTGTAATTTTGTCATTCAAAATCACAAAATCAGGTAGGTAACAAGTATAACTAACGTATTAAGCTAGGCCCTTTATTTCCCGGTCTATCAGAATACCAGGGATACTACCAACATAAAAACTAAATTTTTGATTTTCGTGTATTGGGTCGGTAGGATCCTAAGCAGAGATCCCTGGTACCTACCAAAAAAAACTTAAAGAATAAAGAAAAGAAACTAAGCCTTCCCCCACTAAAAAATTCTAAAAATCTTCTAAAATTAATTAAAAAATAATTTTAAAAAAATTAAAGAGGTTAAAAAATGTTTGTAAGATTAAAAGAAATGTTTTTAGTCATTAAAAAAACTTTAAATTAAATTTAAAAAAACAAAATTTTTATTTCAAAAAAATTTTTAACTAAAAAACAATCCAATTTTTTAACAAAAAAATTTATTTCTTTTGTTGTGGTTCTCCACCCAAATCCTCTATAGCATCCTCGTCTATACCCCATTTTTCAGGTATTAATTCGAAAAGTTCGTCCTAGAAAAAAAATATTCAATTACTTTTTTTAATTTGGCTAGGCATTGGAAGGAGAGGTGAGTCGGAACAACCAGAGGTGTTGGAAATCGGAAGAGCCGGAAATAGGAACTGGCTCGAAAAGTCGGAAATCGGAATTCCGACCCACATCTGACTGGAAGGAGAAAAGTGCCCCAAATGTATATCCTTGAAAATAAAATAATTTGGAGGCCGTTTCTAAACCATAGGTCTATGTTCCGACCTCTCCTTGGAGGAAGTAAATAATTGAGGTAAGGCATATGATAGAAGGAGCAGTAGGGGCATTTTGGGGAAAGGAATTATTAAATATCTTGCTATAGAGAAAAGGTATTGCTCTGCTGGAAGGTGCAAGTAATCGAGGTAAGGCATCTGATAGACGACGAGTAGGGGAAGTAGGGGATTTGGTGAGAGTAATTTTCAAAAAAATTATTTTCAGAAATTAAAAAAAAATTAAAAAATTAATTTTAAAAATATTTTTGTTTTAAAAAGAAAAAATTCTCTCCCACCTTAAAATCCCCTTGAATAACCAATTCATCAGTACCCGCAACAGAACAACCACAAGCAAATTTATTAGAAAATAATTTGGAGGCCGTTTTTAAATCAATATTGCAAGTTAAAAGTCCTTTAACTATTGTCACAGATTTATTTTTGCTTCGCGTTTCTGTTTTTAAAGTAATTTTTTGTTTAATTTCTTTTTGTCCTTTTTTGCTTTGTTTTGACGATAATGTTGATGAAGTAGAACCTTTACCGCCTCTTTTCTATTAATTAATTAATTAAAGGAGAAGGGAAATTAATTAATAATCAGAATTAATTTAAAATAAACTTTCCGGAAAAGTCAGAATTAAGATTAAGAAAAAATCAGAATTTAAAAATCAGAAATATCCAGGAAAAATCAGAATTTATTTTAATAAATTTTCCGGAAAGATCAGAAAATAAATAAACCTTCCGGAGCAGACGTGGGCGAAACGTTTCGTTTCGTTTCGTTGTTTCGTATGTTTCGTATGATTTTTACTGTTTCGTCTCGTTTCGTTACGAAACACTTTTAAATTTGTTTCGTTTCGTTTCGTTACGAAACACCTGTGATTTTTCAACGAAACGAAACAATTTTTTAAGCCTAAACTAAGGCCAAAATCTATAAAATTTACCATCTTTTATTGAAAATTTAAAAAATTTTCGCCTGCGGCGCTGAAAAAAAAAGAATTTCGGCTTCTTGGCTTTCCCAAATTGTCAAAATTTTCGCCTGCGGCGCTGAAAAAGGAAGATAGCAATTACTTATATACTACAAATCCGTTTATACTCTACTCCCTAATCCACATATACATATTACTTAATAGACGACAAATTCTATTACCGGACTCGCATCATAATTTAAAAATTGCGGATTGCGAGTTGCGGAAATACTGGAACCGGAACTTCCGGCGAAGCACTAGCTTATATCGCCTTCCTCTCGAAATGGAGATATGGAGACAATTTGGGTAGGCAATGGAGCAAGCTAGTGAATTTTTTGGCCTACGGCCTTTCAAAATTTTAAAATTTTTCGTCTGCGGCGCTTAAAATAAAATTTTACTTGAAAAATATTCAATCTTATTTGAAAAAAAGCGTCGCCAAAAATTCGGCTTCGAAAATGATTGACCCCCCCCCCCTTCCCCGAAAATTTTCCTTGCTACGGGCCTGGCTTATGGGACACAATTGTTGTAAATAAACCAATAACTAAATCATTTATAATAGAGCCCGGCTCGATACGATATTTTTTCGATATTTTTCGATATATATTTTTCGATATTATCGAAAAAATATCGACCGAGAAAATTTTGATTTTTTCGATATTTTTCGATATTCGGTATTTTTCGGTATTTATCAAAAAAATATCGACCGAGCCCTCCGTCCGGGCTCTAATTTATAAGGCATAGGCGACTAATAAAGTATTTGAGGTCGAATAATTGCGAAATAAATGCAGTTTTGAAAATTTTTTGAATATTAAAATGTTTCGTTTTGTTTCGTTTCGTTTCGTAAGATTTTGGTTGTTTCGTTTCGTTTCGTTAACGAAACGATTTTTAAAAAATTTTGTTTCGTTTCGTTTCGTCAGAAAAAAATTTTGAGTTTCGCCCAGGTCTGTTCCGGAGGTCCAGAATTAATTTAAAAAAGCTTCCCGGAAAAACCAGAATTTTAAAAACTTTCCGGATAAATCAAAATTAATATTAATAAAAATCAGAATTTAAAAATCAGAATGTTAATAAACTTTCCGGAAAAACCAGAAAATAATTAAACTCTCAGAACAGAATTTTCCTAAATAAACACAATTCTAAAATCAGAATTATTAAAACCTAAATTCGAATTAGGTAATTCAAATAAGCTTTCCGGAAAAACCAGAATTTTAGAAACTTTCCAGAAAAAATCAGAATTTAAAAAACTTTCCGGAAAAATCAGAAGATTAAGAAAAACATTAATTAAAATCAGAATTATAATTTTAATAAACTCTCCGGAAAGAAAAGAAAAAAATAAACTTTCAGAACAGAATTAATTTTAATAAAATTTCTTGAAAAATCAGAATTTTAAAAATTTTCCGGAAAAACCAGAATTAATTTTAACAAACTTTCCGGAAAGATCAGAATTTATTTTAAAAACTTTCCGGGAAAATCAGAATTTATTTTAATTAACCAAATTTCTACCTGATGTTTCTTCTCCGTTTGTTGTTCCCCTTCCCCACCCTCATCAATTTTTAATTGTTCTGTTGCAACCTCAGGAAGGTTGGTAATTAACCATTGTTTGCATTTGTCAGACCCACTAAATTCGCAATATTCTATAGGCATTGTACAGGCTTAAAAATAAAATTAAATTCAAAATTATCTCCCCCTCCAAATACCTCCACAATAGGTCACACTCAAAGGATAAACAATTTCTTTTTTAACTTCTTCCCCACCCTCATTTTGTTCGTTTTCTGTTGACATTTCTCAAAAAATTATTTTTTTTCCTAAAATAAAATTTTTAAAAATTAATTAAAATATTAAAAAAATATTAAATATTATTTAAAAAAATATTTTTTAAATTTAAAAAATAAATAAAAATAAATTTTAATGCAAATCAGATTATTGACACATTAAAAACGGAAAGGCAACAATAAACAAATAAGAAAAATTAATATTAAATATTTAGAGGAAAGAAAAATCAGAATTAATAAAAAATTCTGAAAATACATACATATTAAATATAAATCAGAATTATTTTATAAAACCAGAATTAATTTAAATAAACTTTCCGGAAAGATTAAAAAATAAATAAACTTTAAGAACAGAATTTTCTGAAATAAGTTTATTTATTTAAAAATCAGAATTTATTTTAAAATAAACTTGTTTTAAAATCAGAATTATAAGGACCTAAAATTCAGAATTGAAAAATAAACTTTCCGGAAAGGTCAGAATTAATTTTTAAAAAATTCTGAAATAAATATAAATCAGAATTATTATTTAAAAAAATCAGAATAAATTTAAATTAACTTTCCGGAAAGATCAGAATTAATTTTAAAATAAACTTCTTCTATCTATAAATACACAAAGAAATAAATTAAAGATTTATAAATCGTAACACGTTTTATTTAATTTTTTAAATTTTTATGGCTACTTTTTTTTTAATTTTAATTTTTTAAATCAATAAAATAAACGTATTTTAATTACGTGTCAATAAAATAAATTTTTAAAAAAAAAATTTTTTTTAATTTAAAAAAATAGCCGTCCAAACACACTAAATATTGATGCAAATAAAATAATAATATCACAGGGAAAAATTAAAAAAAATATTTTTATAATTTAAAAGACTAGTTTAATAAATAAAATAAAATTTTTCAAAATATTTTTGGCTATATTAAAAGGAAAAATAAATTTTTTTAGTGAAAAAAAAAATTTTTATAAAAATAATTACTGGGAAAGAAATGAGCAAAGAAAAAAAGATTTGGGTACGATTTTTAGAAATTTCGTTTAATTTGGCAGGAAAAAAAATATAATTTTTAAAATTCCCCCTTAATTAATCCCAATAAATAAATTCCCATTTTTGAGTCAATTTATCCTTGTCACAAATTTCCAAAGGCACTTGATCTCCATTTTTGGCATTTAAAGATTCTAAACACAAATTAGTCCCCAAATTCTTCATTAAACCATCCTTTTTTTAATTAAAAATTTTTTTTTAATTTAAAAAAAAATTTAATTTTTACTTTTGTTTGTTCCCACAATTGGTTTTTATTCCCCAAATCACAATTAGGCACTAAATAAACTACTTTTTCTGATTCTCTAGCTTCTGCACAAGTAATTTCTCTTCTAAGTTGGTTTTTCTTGCTTAAAGAAAATACTTGGGCTGAGGAGGCGCCTCCTTGACACTGAAAAAAATCAGAATTAATTTTCCGGAAGGAGCAGAATTAATTTTCTGGGGAAATCAGAATTAATTTTTTTCAGAATTAATTCAAGGAAAAATCAGAATTAATTTTCCGGAAAGATCAGAATTAATTTTCCGGAAAGATCAGAATTAATTTTCCGGAAAGATCAGAATTAATTTTCCGGAAAGATCAGAATTAATTTTCCGGAAAAATCAGAATTAATTTTCCGGAAAAATCAGAATTAATTTTCCGGAAAAATCAGAATTAATTTTCCGGAAAAATCAGAATTAATTTTCCGGAAAAATCAGAATTAATTTTCCGGAAAAATCAGAATTAATTTTCCGGAAAAATCAGAATTAATTTTCCGGAAAAATCAGAATTAATTTTCCGGAAAAATCAGAATTAATTTTCCGGAAAAATCAGAATTAATTTTCCGGAAAAATCAGAATTAATTTTCCGGAAAAATCAGAATTAATTTTCCGGAAAAATCAGAATTAATTTTCCGGAAAAATCAGAATTAATTTTCCGGAAAAATCAGAATTAATTTTCCGGAAAAATCAGAATTAATTTTCCGGAAAAATCAGAATTAATTTTCCGGAAAAATCAGAATTAATTTTCCGGAAAAATCAGAATTCCGGAAAGTTTATTTAAATTAATTCTGATTAATCAGAATTAATTTAAAACTTTCCGGAAAAACAATTATTTAAATTAAATCAGAATTTAAAACAAACAGAAAAAACAAATAAAGGTGTTGTTGTCTTTTCTTCCTTCTGTAATGTGTCTAAACATAACTGACTTGCCACGTTTTGAAGCTAAAAATAAAATAAAAAAAGGAAGAAAATAATAAAATTTTTATTTATTTAATAAAAACTAACCGCTCCAAACCCATGTACTTCTAAAAAAGAAAAAAAATTAAATAAAAAAAATATTTTTAAAAATAAAACCAGTCAAAACCCCAGTATTATAATATACCCTTTTCGGGGTGAAAAAATATTATAACCTAATAGTGAACTTTCCTTCGTTTTTGGAGGTCTCAGAAGTCTTGGGGAACCCCTACTATGTTTGTAAAAGTCCGAGAAGTCTTGGGGAAACCCCTTGAATTGAATGAATTTTGCACTTGAGACATTTAAACAAAGTTTTCCCCAAAACCATCGGATAATCAAAGCCAAAAAAAGTATTCAAAGGAAGAGTACCTAATTTTGGGAGGTATTTAAAAATGAGAGGTTTTTTGACTGATTCAGAATTAATAATCCAAAAAATTTTTTTCAAATAAAAAAATTTTTAATTTAATTTACCTTCATCTGGAATGAATTTTTCCGGAATAACATTATCCAAGTACCACTATAAAAAATAATTTTATTAAAAAATTATCAAAAAAATTTATCAAAATTTACCTTAAAATCTTTACATTTTAATTTTTCTTTCAATTTTTTCCTTTCATTTAAATCCCCAACATCCTTCCCAATTAAATCCCTTCTATGTAAATAATATAATCTTTTATAATCATCCATCCAAACTTCTGCCAGTCTTTTAGAATTTGTCCCGTGAACGTCTTTATTGTTGCCTGGACCTGTCATGTTGTAAGGATGGCCGCTTCTAAAGATGTGACCGACGTGGGAACAAGGAATAAATTCTATAGAACCTCCACACATCCAAACCTGTTAAAATCAGAATTTAAAAAATAAAATCAGAATTTTTTCTGGAAAGTTTTAATTAATTCTGATTTAAATATCAGAATTATTTTCTTTTTTCCGGAATATTTATTTCCTTTCAATTATTAAAATTCTGATTTTTCGAAAAGTTTTATAAAATAATGCTGATTTCAGAATTTTTTAAAATTAAAATCAGAATTAAGTAATATTAATTCCGAAAAGTTTTAACTAAGGATGAAAAGAAAATTCCGGTACTTCCGGAAAGTTTATTTAAATTAAATGAATGTTTCAGAAATAATTTTTAAATTAATTCTTATAATTTTAGAAATAAAGAATAATTTTCTTAAAATATAAAAAAATCAGAATAAATTTTTAAAAACTTCCCGAAAGTTTAATTAAAAAATAAAATTTCCTCCTTACTCTAAAAGATATTTCCAAATTTTCTCCACCCCAAATATCCATTCCAGGGTCATAACCACCAACTTGAAGGAAATATTCTCTGTTAGCAGCTAATAAACCTCCAGCCATTGTTGGGGAACTAAAAAAAAATAATTTTTTTTTATTTTCAAAAAAATTTACGGAATTGGATCAGCAGCCGATTTCAAAGTTTTTTTAATTCTTTCAGGAATTGGATCCCAACGAAAATGCAAAGACCAGAAAAACGTTCCAACAGAATTAATTTCACCTCCACTTGTATATGCTAAAAATAAATTAAAAAATAATTTCCATAAATCTTAAAAAATACCCATAGTTTCAGCATTTATATTATCTATTGAAGGACATACAATTGCTGTTCTCTTTTCTTTTATTCTTTCAAGCATTGGTTCAAGCCTTAAAATTTTGTTTAGAAAATAAAAAAAAATTTTTTTTTGAAAATTGAGGCTTTCCTCTAGTTTTTATGTATCCCTAAAAGGTTTTGGATTTTTCTTTGATTTTCAAAGCCGGATTTGTTTTTGTTCCTTAACGTTTTAAAGTAGGGTTGGACGAGGCCGTTTAATTCCTCGTTTATTTTTCCCTGTGGCCGGACTTTTCCCTTTTCTCCTTTTTTTGACCTGCCACAGGGTTCAAAAAATCTCGTTTTAATCGGTCTCGTCCAACCCTATTTTAAAGAGTTGAAATCTATGAGCACCAAACTATTTATTCTAAAAGATTATTCGAAATAATTTTGTCTGGCTACAGAAAATTTTAAAAATTAAGAAACCCATAGTTAGCCCAAAATTAATATAAAAAACAAAAAAAAGTCCCCAAGCCAACTGGCCAAAATCCCCAAACTCAAAAAACCCATCTTTGAAATCCAAAATAAATTTTTAATGGAAATACAACCCAGAGAAAAGCTCCCTATTTCCTATTAAAAAAATCCAAACCATCCAATATTTGCCTCACAATGTGAATCCAAAAACACAACAACTTCACCACGTGCCAATTTTGCTCCATTTAACTTTGCACGAATCAAACCATTCCTTTCTTTGAATCTGTGAATGCGCACTTTTTCATTAAATCGTTCAATGTAATTGTCAAGATTCTGGTGGAGGTCGTCTGAATTTTAAAAGTTTTTTTTGAATTTAAATTGAATTGGAAAGTTAAATTGTGCTTAAATTTTACTACAGGATGGTACATATAAATAGTTATAATCAAAATTTTTCGAAAAGTGCTAGCTAATTTTGATTAGGAATAAATTTGGATAGTAGTATTGAACAGAACAATCAAACCTTACTTTTAGTACCTTTTTGGGGCTAAAAAATCGTTCAACTTTTATTGAGGAGGTACCATTAAACATCTAATACCCAATCTAGTAGTGTATCAAACTTGAAAATAAATTCCAAATAAATGGAGGGAAGGAGGAGGGTTAAATTAGAAAGTTAAATTTTGCTTAGATTTTACTATAGAAGGTTATGTTATAATTAAAATTTTTCGGAAAGTGTCTAAAATAAGGATGAGATATAATTGAAATTCCTTTAGAAATTAATTCTTTAATAATTTTTTTTGAGAAATTTAAAAAATCATTTTCGAAACCAGTCCCCCAAAAATTAAAAAAAACCTCTTTGACTAAAATCATCAACCAACAAAACTTCTTCCAATAATTTATCAGGTGTTCTATTAATCACAGAATGGACAGTTCGTAATAATGGAGACCAAGCTTCATCAGTAAAAATAATAACAACCGAAGTTTTTGGTAATTTATTTAAATCATAAATTTTTGTTTTGCATTCTTTAATACGGACATCTGGCAATGAACGATCCATAGAAATTTTGTCACTGAAAAAAATTTTTTAATAAACCTCTTTTTCAACTTAACTTATCCCTAGTTATAATGGTGAATTTTGGATTTAGTCACATTATTTGGGATTAAAACCTAACATAATTCCAGTGGACTGGGATTACTTACCGGGTTTTGGTAATCTTTTAGGCTTATTTGTAATTTTATTCAAGAAAACCCGGCAGGAAGGGTCGATGAAAAAATCGACAAAAAATCGATTCGAACCGGACTCTATAAAAAGATAACAGACGGTTTAAAAAGCTTGAGAACCATAAATTATAACAAAAATAAATCATAAAAAAGCTAAAATAGAAACCCCAAAACTGATTAAAAAATTAAAAAAAGTTTAAAAAGCTGGAAGAAGTCCCCACCAATTTTAAAAAATTAAAAAAACCTAGCAGCAACATTCATAAACCATTTTTTCATGTCAGCAGTGCCCTGAACTGCTTCTTTGCCCGTTAAAAACACAGCAGCGCCCATTTCACCTGGACCTATAAAGATTATTTTTAATTAAAAAAAACAAAAGAAAACCATTTTTATTCTTCACAGGCAAAACAGCCGCAAAAACCTTTTTATTTAAACTTTTCCCAACAATTTCTTTCTTTTTATTTAATAAACTTTTATTTTGTGGTGCCCAAGTCCTTCCTTCACCCGGTGGAAGTTCTTCTATTGTAGTTAACCAATCACGAATTAAAATAAAACAAATCATTGAAACCAGAATTAAAGAGAGTAATAAATTAAGTGTTGATATTCTGAAAATAAATTAAATAATCAGAATTTAAATTTGAAATTAAAAAATCAGAATTCTAAACATCAGAATTTAAAAAGTAAAATTAAAAACCAGAATTTAAAAGTCAGAATTTTGAAAACCAGAATTAAAAATCAGAATTTAAAAATCAGAATTAAAATCTGAAATTTAAGAATCAGAATTTTAAAAATCAGAATTTTAAAACCAGAATTTAAAAATCAGAATTTAAAAACCAGAATTAGAAATCAGAATTTTAAAACCAGAATTTAAAAATCAGAATTTTTTAAAACAGAATTAAAAATCAGAATTTAAAAATCAGAATTAGAAATCAGAATTTTAAAACCAGAATTTAAAATCAGAATTTTTTAAAACAGAATCAAAAATCAGAATTTAAAAATCAGAATTTTAAAAATTAAGATTAAAAATAAAAATTTTAAAAAACAGAATTTAGAATAAAAATTCTAAAATTTTAAAAAATTCTGATTTATATTTCCATTCTGATTTCAAATTTAATTTTTAAAAATTCTGATATTCTTCAAAAATATAAAATAAATTAACCTTTTTCTCGGGGCCATAATCAACCGCATCAGAGTTCTCTGCATATTTCCCAAATAAATTTATAAAAAATTTCTAAATTAATTGCTTATTTGTTTAAAAATCAATTACAGGGTGCGGCAAATTTAGCGCCGACTTTGTTTTGGCTATAACTTTTTTAATTTTAATCGAAAATTGATAATTCTTTTTTTTGTTTTACACCTAACACTTTAGGAAATCTATTGGTACCAAATAATAAACATTTTGTTTGCGAATATCAATGAAAAACGAGTCCGAACATAAAAACGGGTAAAAATGGATTTTTCATGTCAAAGTTTAATTGATCATAACTTTGTTCAAAATCATCCAATCCGAATAATTTTGGTACCAATCGACTTATCTCGTTCAGACGTATCGAAATAGCTAATAATCTCATTTTTGAAAATTTCATACAAAAAATTCGTATTTGCCAAAGTTTGTTTAATTTATCATTCAGTGAGCCATATCTCGGTCCATTTATGTGATAGACGCCTGATTTTGACGTCATTCGAATCAGATTGGAGAGCTGATTCGAATGATATATAAACTTCATAAATTAAAATAATAGCCTTGAATCCAGGCCAAATTTTATCCAAAAATTTTTGCTCGAAATTTGATAGAAAATTAATCAAACTTAATTATAAAATTTAAAAACGATTTTGGTATCAACAATTTTCCTAAAGTGTTGGGAATCCAGGAAAAAAAGAATTATCAATTTTCGTTTAAAATTAAAAAAGTTATAGCCAAAACAAAGTCGGCGCTAAATTTGCCGCACTCTGTACTTTTTATTTAAAAATATTTAAAAATTTATTAATAAAAAATTTAAAAAAATTCAAAATAATATTTATAAATTTATTCGTTTGAGTAATACATACATATTTTTAAAAAAAATTTAAAAAAAAAATAAATGAGGAAATAAAAAATGAAAGATTAAAAGTGGAGAGAATTTGAGAGGATTCTCAAAATTACATAAATATGTATACCTAATTTCTCTTTTAGTTTATAAGCAAATAAAAAAAAATTTTTTTATTTAAATTTTGTTCAAAAATATTTCTTTAAATTTGATTTTGTTCATAAAAAAATTGAAAAAAATTTTTTTTAATTTGATTTTGTACAAAATTAAAATTTTTCATTTTTTTGTTCAAATAAATTTTTAAAAATTCTTTTTAAAAAAATTATTATTTATTTTTTGTTAATTAAAAAAAGTTCTAACATTGTTTAATTCAAAAAATATATTTTTCGTCTAGTCTTTTAATAATATAACAAAATAATAAACAAAAAAAACATTCAAAATGTTGTTTTAACAATTAAAGAGGAAGAAGAATTGAGCGAGAAAAAAAGTGAATGTGTATAAATGGCGCTTATTTTGTTTGTTTCGTGTTGGATTTAAAAAAAATATATAAAAAATACTCTACTAAATTTAAGGGGGAAATTCTTAACAAAAAAGAAAATTTTAAAATTATTTAGGGAAGATAAAATTAAATTTAAAAAAATAATTCCAAGAGACGTCTTCCAAAAAAGTACTAAAAGTGAAATTGATTAACCCCCATAATTTTTATAAATTGTCTAAACTAAAATTAACCGTTAGTGGAAAATCTTGGGATATCCGGAACAGAAACCGAGGACCCGAAAAAATCCTCGTTTCGGTTCAGAATCGAAGAAATCCCACTTGGACAATTAATCAAGTGCGTCAAAACAGGAACAAAGTCGGTATAAGTAGTATATACACGCTTTTTATTCCCTTTTTTAAAGGAAATAAAGCAGCGTGAATAAATAATATTAACTAAATGTGAATATCGAGGGTAGGTATTTAGTTTAATTTTAGATGTAATTAAAAATAAACAGACAATTTTCCCCCCAAAAATACAAACAAAAAACAAAGATGATTCGAAATGTGAGCTAAGCTTTGTAAAACTCTTTTAATAATAATTTATTCCTTCTATTTGCAATTGGTTGAAATCATAAAAGCTAAATGAAATATTAAAAATATTAAATAAAATTATTAAAAATATTAAAACGATTTTTTGCAATTTCAAATGAAAATTAAATATTTTAAATATAAATAATAAAAAATGTAAGGCAGATTTAGATCGGCACCAGTAGCTTAACAAGCAAGGATCTGAGGTTCATCAAAAATATTTATTTATATATTTATATTTCTTATATCGTAAAAAAATAATATAATTTTAAAAATATTATTACATGACGCTTTTTGTATAAAATATTCTTAGTTTTATAACAATTTTGTTATAGAAAATGAGTTTCTGGTAGAATTATTTAAAGTTTTAATTTTAATGAAATTAGTTTGTTTAAGTCGACTGTGTAAGCTATTTTTATATTTTATTTTATCTTAGATACTACTAGTAACGCTGAATGATCAATTTCAGATCGGCACCAGTAGCTTAACAAACAAGGATCTGAGGTTCAGCAAAAATATCTATTTATATATTTATACTTCTTATATCGTAAAAAAATAATTAATTTTAAAAATATTATTACATGACGCTTTTTGTATAAAAATTCTTAGTATTAATATCTTACAAAATATTTTTAAACATTCGACATTTTAAACTTTTAACTTTTATTTAATCAAATGTTTATATTGTTATTAATTTGTTAAAAATAATTTAATAATTACGACGCAATGTGTGAAGATCATCGTCGTGTTGAAGCAATGTATTATAAATTAACTATATTTGAGGAAATTTATTATTTTTTTTTCATAGAATAAATTAATAAATTTATTTTTTTATCTTCCTTATTTAAGTAGACTGTAAGCTATTTTTATATTTTATTTTATCTTAGATACTACTAGTAACCCTGAATGATCAATTTCAGATCGGCACCAGTAGCTTAACAAACAAGGATATGATGTTCAGCAAAAATATTTATTGTATATTTATATTTCTTGTATCGTAAAAAAATAATATAATTTTAAAAACCGGCACAATAGAGCAGTAAGAATTGTTGAATTCATAGTTTGAGTTTTGCCGGTTCCAGGCATACCCTTAAAGGAAAAATGTCACACTTTATATTTGAAAGATACAAAACCTGTATAACACTGCATGAATGCGGTTGGAGGGCACGGCGGACAGCACTCTTTTGATCAGAAGATAAATTAAAAGGGTTCAAGGCAAGAATCTGTTCCATACGATCAAGGTCATAATGGACATGCTCGAAGTCATTGAATTGGAAATAAAATTGCAGATGCATGTTGTCGTGATAAATGTATTCTCTAGTAATACCATAAAGTTCACGATGACGAGCTAATATATTGAGTAAGATAAATATAAACTGTCAAATGTACAAACAGACTTACGTTTTGAACCATCATCGTCAACAATTTTTTTCGACCGATTACTTGATCATTTTCAGCATCAATTTTCCCAACTCTAGATGGATTTTTACAAAGCTTAGCTCACATTTCGAATCATCTTTGTTTTTTGTTTGTATTTTTTGGGGGAAAATTGTCTGCTTATTTTTAATTAGCTCTAAAATTAAGCTAAATACCTACCCTCGATATTCACATTTAGTTAATATTATTAATTCACGCTTTATTTCCTTTAAAAAAGGGAATAAAAAGCGTGTATATACTACTGGTATAGCTAAACTAAACTCCTTTGAATTTTTTAAGTTTAGAGTATTTATTCAAAAATAAATTTTAAACCCCAAAAATTTAACTTTGTCTAAAATGAATTCGAGGCTGTACTTTAGCCGGTGGCCCACTCAGAAACGGGTCAAAATATATACCATTCGATTCGTGCCGGCGAGCTGAGTCGAATGGTACCATTCTTTTTTTGCTGAAATTTCTACGAGCCGAGATATAAGTACTTAAATATAGAAAAACCATAGGGGGGACCAAGCACTTTTTTGGGGTGAAAAATTCGAATATGCAAATAATAGCTCATTCGAAAGAGCTCGTCGAGCTGAGTCGATTAACACCAAAATCAACGAAATCCGACTTGATTTGACAAAGTTATGAGCATTTGTTTTAGCTCCTTACCTATGGCATCTGGAGATTTTTGCTGCTACGGAGGCCCCAAATACGTCCAGAGCAAGGGAGATAGGAATAGGGTTATGTTACAAGCCCAGACCCAGCGCCCGTAGACTCCCCGCGAGGCGCGTGCCGCAAAACTCCGCGCGAAGCGCGGAGTTTTGCACAAGCGCCTCGCCGACGCCCCATAGGTTTATGTTGCTAGTTTTTTGTGTTGTAACTTTGTGTAAACTTGTTTAATCCCGGTGATTTTGGTGTCATTCGACTCAGCTTGTCGAGCTCTTTTAAATGAGCTATAATATGCTTAAAAAATTTTTAATTCCAAAAATCACCCCTTTGGATTAACAGTTTTCAGAAGCCTATATCTCGGTCCAAGCAAGTCAGATTTCGTTGATTTTGGTGTTAATCGACTCAGCTCGACGAGCTCTTTCGAATGAGCTATTATTTGCATATTCGAATTTTTCACCCCAATAAAGTGCTTGGTCCCCCCTATGGTTTTTCGATTTTCAAGTACCTATATCTCGGCTCATAGGAATTTCCGCAAAAAAAGAATGGTACCATTCGACTCAGCTCGCCGAGACAAATCGAATGGTATATATTTTGACCCGTTTCTGAGTGGGCCACCGGCTAAAGTATATCCGAATTCGAAAAAACACAAAAATAATACTTAATAAGGGAAAAGAAAAAAATTTGGCTCTATCTTAGGACATGCGTCCCATGAACATTTATGCGTCCCATGAACATTTATGCGTCCCATGAAGGTTTATGCGTCCCAAAAATAGTATATGCGTCCCATGAAAGTATATACGTCCCAAAAATTGTATATGCGTCCCAAAATAAGATAAGCGCAAACAACATCTTTTAAATGTATTAATGAAAATTAAATATTTGATTATATGTTTGCTTGCTCAAGGGACAACGAGCAAATTTTAAAGAAAAAATAAAATTTTTATTTTAATATAAAAAAAATATCTTCCATCAAATGTTGAAGGATTTTACTGTTTGCATGGTATCTTCTAAACACATACTGAAATAGATAAGAAGGTAGCATATTTTTATTTGTTCCGTGACGGTGGCTTAAGCTAGCTTTAAGAGCCCCCAAGATGGGAAAAGAAGTTCACCCATATGAATGTTAAATATTAATTTAATGCTCGTTGTCGCTAGAGCAAGGAAACATAAATATAATAAAATATTTAATTGTCATTACTAAAATTAAAAAAATGTTTTTACAATTGTTTTACGTTTATATTAATTTTGGGACGCATATACTTTGAAGGGACTCTTATACTATTTTTGGGACGCATATACTTTCATGGGACGCATAAAAGTTCATGGGACGCATAAACTTTCATGGGACGCATAAATGTCCATGGGACGCATGTCCTAAGATAGAGCCAAAAATTTTAGCTCATTTTCGTTGAATTAAAGCAAAAAAAAACTCAACAATACAAAGAGAATATAGTATAATAATCAAAAATATGACACCTTGTTGGAAACAAAATTTTTTGAGAAGTGGAGGAGAATATGGGAAAAAAATTATTTTAAAATATAGTCTAAACTCATCAATTAATTAAATTTAAGATAACATTTTTAAATTTAAGTAGCCATAAAGGGAATGGGGAAGGAGAGGAAGTGCGATGCCCAAGATCAAGACACCCCGAATTATAAGACAAGTTTTTAACCCTAGCAACTAAGGTTGTCGGTTCGGAACCGGACCAAGAACCGAGAGGTTCGGTTCCGAATATCTGAAGTTTTTCCATGGAACCGACAACCCTACTAACAATCATTATTAACTAACCGCTAATTTATGGTACCATCCAAGGACCTCATATTTAATATTACGAAGTAATAGCCGTCTATCTGCAAAATGACTTTGGGCAGAGTTTAGAAACGAGGATTAGACTGTATTTTCTAATTTACCAAAAAATATCAAACCTTTCCTTTATTTATTCTTTTTGTTTTTCTCATCACCACCATTATTATTCTCAACAACCAAATTTTCATTTGAAGAACAAATTTTTAATTTTTTTCTTCGTTTATGAACATCTTCCTGTATTGCACCCAAATTTTCACAAGAAGAATCCAAATAACAATCACGAATACCCCCACCACGAACTTCTACTTCTCGAGTAAGCATTTGATATTTTGTCCACCAAATTGAAACCCAAACACAAAATATTGTGCCAACAGCCTTAAAAATATTTTTTAAAAAATTGAAAGTCAATCAAGCTGTCTAACAAATAAATTAGACTCCCCAATAAACATTGAGGTGAGGTGTTGAACAAATTGGATCTCAAGACAAGAATTACGAATAGGGTTGTCGGTTCTGGACCAAACCGAAGAACCGAGGATTTTTCGGTTCGGTTAGGATATCCGAAGAATTTTCAGGAACCGACAACCCTAATTACAAAGTAAATATTACCTAGATGATAGGAAGAACGAAAAAGTTAGGGCAACAGATAGGACAAAAAATCTTGATAGCACAAAAAACCCGCTAACGTTTTTTCCCTTATTTGTCTCAATTAAGTCCAAAGGGATGTATTACAAAATTGCAACATGCGACAGAAAAAATGTTCAAAAACAAAATCGCGCGTGATTTTGTTCCTCCATTACTTTTTAACGAAAGACGTTCGCGATTTTTAGGTTAACGTAAACATTAGCGAGATCTGACTCTTGATAAACGTCACGATTCATTTCTCATTACACTGACTTAAATTCAGAACCGACGACGTAATATCGAGATTTGACTAAATCTTTAATAAATAAAAATATTAACCAAAAAAGCAATCCAAAGTCCAATTAACCACAGCTTAACAGAAGGCAATTGTTCACGACCAAATTTAATACAGATAGAAGCTTCTAAAGCACAAATAACAGCATAGAGCCTATAAAATTTAAAATAAAATTAAAAAAAATTTTTTTTTAAATTAAACCAGCATTGCATTCCCATCCTTTTAACTTTTGGATCAGTCACATAAATATAATATTGACTTTAAAAAATGAAATAATATTAAAATATTATTTTAAAAGAAGAAACCGAATTGTTGGAGCACAAATAAGACAAATTAAAATTATATGCCAAAAAACAACAGGATGGGAAGTGTCGATAGCAAAGACGTGTTTAAGGAAGAAAACGTTTAATTCTGTTGCCTTAAAAAATTAAAAATAAATTAATTAAAATTTAAATATAATTTTATTGGGAAAAGGATTTTTAGGGCTGAGTGGACATAAAAAAAACTTCAAAAAGCAAAAAATTGAAACAGATCCCACAAAAAAGTTATTAAACGCTTAATAAACCCATCTACCGACTGATGGTTTTGATTTAAATTTTAACAAGTAGGATTGGGGAAAACTCGCCTTTCTTAAAATTAGGGTTGGGTTTTTCGAGTAGGGCCGACGTTCGAGTCATTTTTCGGACTTCATTTTATCAGGCCGGCCCGACCGAGTCTTTTTCGGGCCAAAATTCTATGCCCGACTCGATCTTTCGGATTAGGCCGGATCGTGCACCAAACCCTACTTAAAATACTATCTAAGGATTTGGAAGGGGACTATTTATTTGCCTAGAAATTTCATAATTTTATCCTTAAAATAAACTGTTCAATAAATCAGTTCATTTCCCTATACTAAAATTTAAATAATCGAAAAAATTCCCAGAAAAACTTACCAACCAAATCATAATGAACATATATATTGCAATACAACGTTTTAACCCCGCCCAAGTAGATGCCCAAGTAGAAACTTCCCCTCTAGCATCAGCAGCCATTATAGCAACAGATCTAATTGAAGAAGCTGATGTTGGGGTTAAAATTGGAGTTTTGACATTTTCTGGGGTTTTTAAAGTTTTGTTGTTGACATTTTCTGGTGATAAACTTTTTGCTGTATTTAAATCGGCTTCTTTTTTGTTTGAAGATAAATCACTTCCTTTTAACCAATTAACGGTAATCCAACTTTCTGGGGTAAATTGAAGAACTGCTCGACGAAGTTTACCGTGAATTGTTCGAATATTCCTTTGAAAAGGAAAAAGAAATTAATTTTTTTATTAAAATTGTTTAAAAAGAGTAATGGAGAAATTAAAAAAAATAATTTTAGGAAGGGCAGAATAAAAACTTCAACACTAATTGTAAGGAACAGGGCAGAAATCGAACCTGTGAACATCAGGTAGTTTTGAGTAATTCAGGATACTTTGCTTATGTATTACGTGTAAGGGTCCCACCCGGATTATATCTCTAACAGCTGTGTCAAATGTCAAAAAGATGATAAATGATACTAACAGGCTCACTGTGCTCTAGAACTATCGAGGCTACAGATAACTTTGTTTTACTTATTCAATCTTAAACACCATCTAAACGTTTTAAAAATAACCAGTTAGACATCCCTCTTTTCTCCCTTAAATGTCTACATTCCCCAATTTTATATAAAAAAACAAACTTTATACTTTCCCAATGATATTGACGCATTTCCAAAAATCTACAAACCCAATTACCAAAAAGAATTCCAAATCCATTACAAATTAAAATATCTAAAAGTATTGCATCCCACCAGCATTCTTGAAAATTCGGAAGTAAATGGGCAAAAGCTAACTTAAAAAGAAGAAAAATTAAAATCATTATTAACAAATCGAGAACAGGCTACGACTACGAGCACATTTTACCAATAGGTTTAGCTGTCCAATAAGTATATTGGATAAACAAATTTGAGAATCAAAAAAACGATCCAAACAGACACAAAAAAGCTTGAGGACTTAACTCTTACTTAATATTAACCAAAAATTGAAACAAAAACAACAAAATTCGAACAATTCTGAAAGAGTGAGTTAGTGGCAAAACAAGGTAAAGGAGATACTAGAACACTAGTAACCAAAAATTTTTAGAGAGAATCGAAAAAAGATCCAAACAAACTTGAAGGACTTTACTCTTACAATTAGCTATTATAATAAAAAAATATTAGCTAAAAATTGAAATTTTAAAATTATGTTGAATAAACAAAATTTCTTTTAAAGAAAAATCTAAAATTCAAAAAAAACCTCAGTAAGTTCCCAAGAAATACTTATATACCAACAAATAATTGTATGCCTAATCATTAAAGCTTTCATTGCCCATCCAAGAAAATGGCCAACAGCAAAAATATCCATATGACCCCAAATTCGTGAAATTGATACATCTGTACAATTAACTGCATATTCCTTTAAAAAATTAATTTTTAAAATTTTGTTAGATGATTGGAAGTAAATGAAGAAGGAAAACAACAGAGTATAAGCTAAAAAGCTTTAAGAAACTGAAGGCTAACAAAGAACTATAAACAAAAAATTTTCTATAGGATGGTTGAGTTACAACTCTGTTAATGACAGTTAAGGTATAAATAAAAGCTAATAAGTATGTCCTATTTAAAATCTGATTTTAAAAGTTAATGTAGACAGGCTTAATTATGTTTTGCAAAAGGAGTGGAAGGCAATCACAAAATAAAATTTTTGGCTCTATCCGAAAGGAATGCCGGCATCCGATTTTTTCCATATTTTAAAAAAGGTTAAGTATAGAGAAAATATAAGGAAATTAACCACTTTAATAATATGGAAAAATTGGATGCCGGCAGTCCTTACGGATAGAGCCAAAAATTTTTTTGCGAGGATAAATAAACTATAAATAGTAGATTTAAAAAACCCCCAAACAAAAATTAAAAAAACTCCCAAACCTTTTCAGTTAAATTTCGAAGACTTAACCCAACAGGATCAATCCAAGAAAGAACAGCTTTAACATCATCATAACTTTGATATAAAGTAAATTGTAATAACAAAGCATAAAGAACACTTAAACCAAAAACAATTCTCCAAATAATTGGATGTGGACGAATAAATGGGCCATTAGGGAAAATCATTGCACTTTAAAAGAAAAAAATATGAATATTATTAAATTATTAAAGAAAACCCCAATCTACCTCAACTTAATCTATGACAGCTCCAATTAATTAAAGAAAGGTCGATCGTTGGAAAGTTTTGGTATAATTCAACCTATCACGACTAGATGTGTTTAATGATATCAAAATCAGTTTGACAGGAAATTTTCATTTTTATGGCCCTGTGACAGATTGGGTCACAGAAAGCCTGACCAGTTTATCATTAGAGATGGGTCGGCTCATCCAGAATCAGACTTTTTCCTCAATCCGACCCATCTCTCATTCAAACATTACTAGTACTTAATGGATGGAGCTCTAACAGACTAGGACACGGAAAGCCTGACCAGTTTCACATAAGTGATGTTTCGACTTATCCAAAACAAGACTTTTTCCTCAATCCGACCCATCTCTCATTCACACAACTAATAATTAATGGGTGGAGCGGGGCTTAGGAGAATCAAAAATTCTTTTGATGGGATTATTTTGGTATAGAAAACTAAAAATTTTTTTCTAAAAACCGTGACAAGCCCAAGTAGTCGCGCGGCCATAACGGCGCAAAGCCATAACATGCCGGAAAATTTCTTGCCCTTATCAATTTTGGTACCAATTTTGTAGAGCTGTCCGAGACCAAAATTTTTCCAAGACTCAAGACTCAAGACCAAAACTCCAAGACTCAAGACCAAAAATCAAGACCAAATTTTTAAATCCCATAAATCAAATTTTTGGTTTATTTTTTGTTATTTTGATACGATCAGTCAACTTCAGCACAATTATATATAATTTCGAAAAATTTATGCGAAATTCAAAGAATTTCGGGGAATTTATTCGTATGGAAAATCAATAAAATAGGTTATTATTTCAGAGAATTTGGGTGGATTAACGGGATATTAGTGATATCAAAGGATTAAGAGGGATTGCCGTGGGATTTAGTGAATTATGAGGGATGTCTTGGGATTTTACGTCTGGAACGCCAAGGTAAGGCCAAAATTTTGGCGATACCCAACGTTAGCCCCCCCCCCCCCCCCATTCGAAATCGACCCCCTAGCTACGCCCTTGGATTAAGAAGGATATCAAGGTTTAAAGGGGAATTTAAGTAGATTATGAGGGATCAAAAGGAATAGTATGAAGTTGGGGGACCTGGGTGATTAGGTGATGGTGGCTGCTGATATCCATCCTCTATTTTATCCCTATCTTTTTGCGCGCATGCGAAAATTTGAACAATTTTGGAAGGCCAAGAAGCCAGAATTCTTCATTTTCCAGCGCCGCAGGCGAAAATTTTGGGAATTATGAAGGCCGAGAAGCCAAAAATCTTCCTTTTCCTGCGCCGCAGGCAAAAATTTTAATATTTTGGAAGGCCTTATGCCAAAAAATCACTTTTTCAGCGCCGCAGGCGAAAATTTTTTGAATTTTGGGACTCAAGAAGCCAGATTTCCTGCATTTTCTGCGCCGCAGGCGAAAATTTTGAGGATTTTGGATGGCCAAGCACTAGGTCCAAAAAGGCCAAAAAACCAAGACCAAAAAATAAAACCAAGACAAGACCAGGACAAACACCCCAAGACCAAGACCGAAAAAAACCCAAGAAAAGTCTTGGTTCCAAGACCAAGACCAAGAGTCTCGGACAGCTCTACAATTTGGTTATCAATTCTGAATCGCTCAATACTAAATTTTAAAAAATTCGAAAATCTTGAAGCAAGTCGCGCCTATTGGCCGCACGTCTACTTGGGCTGTACACCTCAAAACCTATTGTGTAAAAAATAAAAAAATTTCGAATCAAACTAATGTTTTAATAAAAATAAATTTAAAAAATACCTAATAATAAGAAAAAGAATGAACAAAGCTTTAAGCCCTCTAAAAACATTAATATCCGTTGATCACAATTGCCTTTAAAAATAAAAATTTATAATTTAAAAAATTCAAAAAAACTTTGTAAAAACAACATCATAAATTAAATAAGCACAAAGGAGACCAAGAACTGAAAGAATAAATAAAAAATTAAAATTAAGAAAAAAACCTGTAAGAGTGTGAGGTTTATATAAAGCCTCTAAAGTAATATCCTTTAAGAAAGAAAAATTGTTTTAATAATTTTACCCATTAAATTTAAAACAAAACTTACATTAACAACCCTTTCATTAATTAAACGAAAATGAAGTCGCTCAATTTCTGTTGGATTTCGATGTTTAAATTTCTTTCGAGAACTAGAATTTAATTTAAATAAAAAAATTTTTTTATTTTGACTATAAAATTTTGATAATTCTAAAAAAATTGTCCACAAAGTATCTTCCCAAAAAATCTTTTCGTCTATAGAGGGTAATAGTTTGGAACTCGCCCCGCTTTTTTTCCTTTCTATTCTTTCCCAGTTTTTTCTCATTTTATGGCAAATTATATATCAATCGAAAGATCTCTTTAAGCTGAGTCGAATGACATTAAAATCAACGAAATCTGATTTAAGTGAACAAAGTTGTGACCTTTAATTTTATCCCCTTGGATTGTCACAAAAAGTCTTCCCAATAAGGATTTAGCTTCATAATTTTGGCAAGAATGATCAGATCTAGCCAATCATGGTATCATTCGACCAAGCTCGAAGAGCGCTTTCGAATGATATATAAATTATCTATCAAACAAAAAAGCTCAAAATGGTCAGGGAAACAGTAAAAAAGGGGGGCGAATTTCAAACTATTACCAATTAGAGTGCGACACGTGATGAGCCCCCATACGGGATTTAAGTGATCCCGCCCTGAAATCCAGAGGTTTAAGCGACAAACGGGATTAAGCCTGGGGGATTCCGGCCCGTACAAAATTTTGAAAAAAATTTCGTTATGAAGTACCGGGAATGAATTTTGCTGCAAATTCACGTTTAATTTCTACATTAGTTCAAAACACTTGAGGAAAAAAATAAAAAGAAACCTTTTATTTGTTTCAGGAGAAGACCATTCATCTCCACTATCTAAATCAGTTTCTGCATTATCCGTTTCATTATTTGTTTCTGTATAAATTCTATCAGAATCTTCTACATTTGTTAAATTATTCATTTTTTCTCTAAAAAATAAAAAAATAAAAAAATTTAAATTGAAAAACAAAAAAGGAAACAAACGAAAAATAGAAAATGGCACGGGAGTGGATCCCGTTCTGTGAGGAGATTGGTACCAAAAAGGCCAGATATTTTCCAGCAAGTTATCGATTTGCGCCGTAATGGCGTAGCGCCTACTTGGGCTGTACGCGCAAACACATTGTCTCGTTTTTACAACTTTGACCTCTCGAATGGCCATTCTCTCTTCTATTTTTTTCACAACTGGTCACTCAAATTCACTTGTCTAATTTTCCCCATTTTGTCGTTGTCATTATTTTCTATATACCCGTTAAAATTATTGGAAATAGAGAGTGAATGGAAGGTGCCCTTAGGTTCTTTTATATTTTTTAAAATTTATAGGATTGTACAATCTCTTCTGCTAAATTCCCCCCAGTTGGCAGATTCTGCTGATAAATTGATGCAAAAATGTGTTGAAGTGTTGACACTTATTGGTCGATGTTGGTCTAAACAATGGACAAACAGTTTACACAGCAAATTGTCGAGAGAATATGGACTTTCTGGATTTATTTTTGATGAGGTTTTGATTGAGATTTTATTTTAGTTTTTTTTTAATTTTAGACAATGTTCGATTTTCCAGCAAAAGTTCTTTCGGCAGTTACTGGAGTTCTTCAACTACCTCCAACAACACAAATTAGATCAATACCCTCAATTACTTCCCAACAACCACATGTACTTGGCCATGCTTAAAGGCTGGCATTTGGCCATGCCCTACGCTGGCATTTGGCCATGCTTAAAGGCTGGCACTTGGCCATGCCCTACGCTGGCATTGGTTAATCAACCAACTTCTTTCGGTTAGTCTTTTGCCTCTGAATATTTAATTGGAATAAATGCATTCTTTATATCTTTTATTTTCCCCATACCATTTTATTATAAAAACTGATACTATTGCTTGTAAATTATAAGCTCAAGAGTAACTGGCAGTACTCAACTGTCAGTTACTCAACTGTCAGAGAATTTTGAATTTTAATGCTATTGGCATTCTGTTTAAATTACTAAAAATCTACTATTTAAACCATTCTTTTCGGATTTTCGTTGTTTTGTTAATTCCTTTAATTTTTAATTAACTAAACTTTGATGCTTTTTTTATTTCAGTAATTTTCAAAATGGCTGAGAATTTGTATGAAAATGCTTCGAGTTTGGACAACGTTGTTGGGACGCAGTCTAGTCCTAGTGGATCAGCAACATCAATTTATGTTACCAATCTGGTTGATCAACTGCGTGAGGAACTTCGCTTGGAACGTGAGGAAAATGCGAGACTTCGAAAGCGCAATGTTAAAGTATATCTTTCAATGATTGACTTTTACACATTTTATATTTCAGCTTGAGGGTATCATAAGAAGTGGACAAGCTGTTCTCGGGACTGCTTTTGCTGCTAAAGGTAAACAAAGAATGTAAAAAATAATGTTTTTTCTATTCAGAAAAGAAGGCGGAGACTCCAAAGAAGCTTGACTCTCCTAAGAAAATTGACGGTGCTAAGAAGGTCGACGGTGCGAAGAAGGATGGCGCCCCAAAGAATAAGTAAATGGGATTAAAATTTTCTGGAAGAATATGGAAATATTTAAAATGGATATATTTAAAATGTTAAATTAAAAAAATTGTTTCCGAATAAATTTTGTTGTGAGAAGTTTGTTTGAATTTTAGTCCAAACGTTTATATTTCGTTTAGTTTGTACCTTTTCGTGTACTTGTTCGACTTTTTAACACTTTTGATTATGCTTGTCTCAACTAATTGTGAACACGATGTTGCACAAAAAATGTAACTTGGATGATATGTATAGGAAATTTCTAATAGGAAATTTATAGTCCATAACCTTTTTTTTAAAGATTGACCGAAAAGTGGTAGTCGGCCAAACAAGCAAAATCATTTTTTCAATTTTTTTATTTTCAAATTTAGCTTGCCTACAATCAATTTTTTGGGTCAATTATTGCTCTAGACGAACAATTGGTGTGTGCCCGTCGTGAATATAATGGGCAATTCCATATGGCTAATATGCTTACTAGAGTTGTCGATTTAGATGTTTTCCCTGTTGAATTTGCAGTTGGGGAAGAGATGATTTGGCGTTGCTTTCTTTCCTCACAGGATTTGCAACGGGCGCTGGAGATGAAAAAGTTCCTTATGGCCTTGAATCAGAGAAGTACTGAAAGTAGAAAATCGGTTGTGATTTTTTAAAATTATTTCTTTTGTTTTGATTTAGAATGGGGAGAAGTTTATTGAGAATTGTTGACTTTAGAGGCGCCATTTTAATTTCTTTTTGGGGGTAATGGATAATAGGTAGCGGCAAAATCGATTTTTCCGGAGTCGGATTCGAATTTTTAACGAGTTGCACCGGCTACTTCTGACAATGAAACACTTTTTTTAAGTTTTTATTTTTACAGGACTTTGCAGCACCTGTTATTGACATGAATATCTTGCAAATGTTTGTTGAATTGAACGTTTTGATTGCTGCAGATCGGAAACGTCCTCCTTTGAATAATGATTTTGCTTCATTTTCCTATGCTTATTTGTTGCTAGAACGTCTTCGAGTATTTTTTATTTTTTTAAATTACAAAAAATTCTTTTCTAAAGCTTTTACTTCGTCCGCTTAAAACTTATTCACCTTTTGACGGCCGTCTTTCTGGAAAATTTAGGACAGAAGAAGTTGGCGATTTAATGCATGTTACTTCTTCAATATCTAATGTGATGAATGTTGAATCTGCTAGACGTCTTTCTTTCTACCGATGGCCTCATAAAGACTTTAAGTAAAGAATTTTTGAAATCTTATTTTGGATATAGTTTAGTATACCTGAGTTTTAGTCCCGATATAAAACCCATACCATTCGATTCGTCTCGGCGAGCTGAGTCGAACGGTACCACTCTCCAGGTGTTGTAACATAATCCTATTCCTATCATTATGAAGTGGGCATCCCAGGCTGCCTCCGTAGAAGCAAAACCTCCACTGATGCTATAGCTAAGGAGCTAAAACAAACGATCATAACTTTGTTCAATCTTGTTCAATCACGGGTTTTTCATGTCTTTCGACTCAGCTCGAGGAGCTCTTTCGAATGTGCTATCATTAAAAAAATCGAATTTTTCACCCCAAAATTGTGCTTACTCCCCCTATGGTTTTTCGATTTTCGGGGACCTATATCTCGGCCCACAGGCATTTCCGCGCCTGGAGAGTGGTACCGTTCGACTCAGCTCGCCGAGACGAATTGAATGTTTTATATCGGAACTAAAACTCCGGTATACTAAACTACAGCCCTTATTTTAATTAAATGTTTTAGAGACTTATTCTGTGAAACATAGAAAAGAAATTTTCCATTTTTTCTAAAATTTAGTTTAGGTTGAGGTAATCTTGATTTGATAATATATTGTTTCTATTTTTCCGTTTACAATGTTTTTCAAAACCCGTATGAAAAATTGGGTTGGACTGCTGTCTTTCGATCCAGGGCCCCTTCTATATTCTTTTAAAAAATTTTATTTTTTTTTAAATTTATTTTTAAGAGAAAAGAATTCATTCTTCTGTTGAAATAGACTTTGACGAGCCCGAAGAGGAACAACAGAATGAGGAAGTAATGATTATCGATAATATTGAACTTGATCAAAATGTTGCGTCTTCGTCGAATGCTTTGCCTAAAGTGTCTGATGCTGTTGAACGTTTCTATTGCGATAAACTTAGAGGATTACAATTTGGTTGGGGTTTTTTAATTTTTTTCATAAATATTTATTAGATATCCGTGTTAAGCATTCAAAAATCACCCTAATTTTAAGTAATTTTCAAAAATATTATTTACGTCCATTTTTATTCTGCTGACAAGGAACAATATCGAACTGTCACCAAAAATTTCGTAATAATTTTTATACCATCGTGTAGAGCATAGTCGAAACCATATTGTAGTACTTTTCTTTTTCGGCCCTACCCCCCATTTCGAAAAGTTATGGGGCTTCAAAGTTTTCGACTTTTGGAGCGGTTGAGTCGCCCTCAAAAAAGAGAGCTTTTTCTTTTAATAAGGGGAAAAATAAGACTCCCATCCTCCTTTTTCCTTTCCTTTTCTTTTCCACTAGTAGAAAAGAAAGAGAAAAGGAGGAGAGAAAAGGAAAGGAAAAGATGCATCTCTGCCATCTCCTCTTTTGTTTTTAATCCGCATTGGGTGAAAGGCAGAGTAGCCTTTTCCTTTTCTTTTCTCTCTCCTCCTTTTCTCTTTCTTTAACAAACATGGGAAAAGAAAGGAAAGGAAAAATGGAGAAAAGGAGTCTCATTTTTCTCCTTAGGAAGCAAATAATAAGAAAAGTGAGGGCGACTCAACTGCTCCAAAAGTCGAAAACTTTGAAGCCCCATAACTTTTCGAAATGGGGGTAGGGCCGAAAAAGAAAAGTACTACAAGATGGTTTCGACTATGCTCTACACGATGGTATAAAAATTATTACGAAATTTTTGGTGACAGTTCGATATTGTTCCTTGTGAGTTTTAACCTCCCTTTTACTTGCACCATAGTGATAATTTTTGGAATTTTACTTAAACAATTTATTAGATTTAAAAATCTTATAGGGAGGTATAAATTCAATGGCTAGTGCTGGAGGTTCAGCTTTAGGCAAACGAACTCGTCGATTAGCACAGGAAATTGTTTCTTTGAGCAGTTCATTGCCTCTTTCATTTAGTAGCGGTGTTTTTGTTCGAACTTGTGAAGAAAGATTGGATGCTATGAAGGTTTTCTTGTAAAAATTTTAACAAAAAATTTTTTTTTCTTTACAGGTTTTAATAACGGGTCCATCAGATACTCCTTATGCAAATGGATGTTTTGAATTTGATGTTTTCTTCCCTCCAGATTATCCAAATGTTCCAATGCAAATGAATTTGGAGACAACGGGGAATCGGACAGTTCGATTTAGTTGGTTTTTTCTTTAACTTTTTGGACAAAAATTAAAATTTTTTTTAAAGATCCAAATCTTTACGATGATGGAAGAAATTGTCAAATCTCATTTTTGGATGAAACGAGACGAAATCTGTGTTCAAGTGGAAGCTTGGATTGAAGATATTCAACATTATATAACTACACATGCGAGTAGCGGAAAAGTTTTGCCTAATTATTTGGCTGGACTTAAAGTATTTTTTTTAATTTTATTAAAAAAAATTTTTTTAAATTAAATTTAGAAACATTATGAAACTTTAAAAATGGAATTTAAAAAGATGACAGCTCCTCCAGGTTTGAAAAATTGTAAATCGAAACGATTTGATATTGAGAATGAGGGAGGGGAGCTTAAATAAATAAATTGGGGGGTTTTTTGGAGTGAATAAAAAATATATTTTTTTATTTAATAAATAAAATTTGTGTTTTATCGAATTGACTTTATAAATAATTTTTTTGTCGATAAATTATACATAATAAAAAAGTTTTAAATTTTTTAAAGATTTGTTTTAATTGTTTAAAATTTAGTCATGAATTTTCCAAAATTTTCGCCAGCGGCGCAAAAAGAGGAAGAAATCTGGAGCCTTGGTTTACCATAATTCTCAAAATTTTTGCCTGCGGCGCTAAAAATGGAAGAACCTTGCCATAGTTTGTCGCCCGATATTCCCCTAGATCCACTATCACTCAAATCCTCCATATCCTTCGGAATTTACCTGAATACTCCTGAGTCCCTCTTAATCCACATAAATACCAAAACGTAAACCACTAAAATTCCAGTTCTATTCTACTGAAATGTTTTCAAAGCGAGGTACGGACTTCTGAATATCCTGAAATATAGGATATAAAATAAAGGATGGAACCTGGTTTATGTCTGATATCCCCTCAAATCCCTTGATATCCCGGATGCCTGACAAAATCCTAATGGTGATTTAAGATTCAGTTGAGGCTTTGATGAGGAACAAAGCACTGAGTTGATATATCCTTACAGATTTTTCAGCGTATCGGAAAATTGTAAGAATTTCGGAAAATTGTAGAATTCGGAAGATCGACAAATTCACGTCAATAGTTCAGCAACAACAGAAAATTATCGATAAACTAGGAAGACAAGAGCTGAATTCAACGAGGTCTTAAACTTGTTCAGCAACTTGCACACTTTGAGCAACCTTAAAACTTGGCGAATTTGAGTGGAGGAAAGCAGCAAAGAAACACCACAACACCAACGGCAATACCATCACAAATTGGGACTGCTTCACCTACAAACCAGCACAGAAGACCAGCCGAATCAGCATAACATTGGCAACTTAAAGGACCACCAATAAAGGAACCACGTCTCCCTGTACTACGACAATTTGTGACATCCGTGGAACTTCACAACAATCCCGTCAGCGTCGAGGATTTATCCGTTGTAAAATGGGATACATCCACACAGCAAATGAAATGTCAAATTTAAAAAAAGTCAACATAAACTACTAAGGACCCAGTGAAGATCTGCTAATAAATAGGATTTAA